TATTCAAACTGTGATGGGGGACTTTCCAGTCTCTTCTTAAAGACCCCTGCGGAAGGAGAGTGCACCTTAATCCCCCAAATGAGGAGGACATCCAAACTATATGAACCAATGTTAAGTCAAAGTTGTTTTTCTTGTCATTTGAACGTGGGGATTCAGCGCTCTACCACCTGGGTGCAGGTTGTAAGAGGAAGCTCGCTTCCTAGCTTTTGGCAGAATGCTTGAATGAGGTTGCTCTCATTGCCTTGAACTGACCTTAATTCTTGCAGGCTCAGTGCTTAAAATATGAGACCTGTAGTTTGGTAGAAGCAAATCGATAGCCTCGTAGCCACCTCTCCAGCTGTTCTGGGCCACTGCTGCCATCGGGAGGGCTGAATACCAGCGAGCAAAGCAAATCTCTTTTGCTCGTAGTCTGGTTTAGTTCTCTTTCCTAGCCACTGCCAGCAAATTGGATTATAGTGGGGCAAATCAGGAAGCAGGCAGAAGTGCCTTGTGGACTAGCGCCATCTAAAGGCTCCCTTCAGGCATAGCTTCAAAAAATTCAAAGCCTTTCGGGTTTTCTCCTGCATCCACCCACTCAACCGACTCTCCTTCAAAGCTAGGGATATTCTAAACAGCAACCCACCCCCTAGGGTGAGCAAAAGCTTCAAATGCTCCAAGCCCCACCATCCCCAGCCAGCTTCACCACTGGTCAGAGAATAGCCCGACTAATCTGAAGCCCCCCATAAGCTTGGCATGGGTTGAGGAGATGGGAGCGTGGATTTTACAGGCACAGAAAGGGGTTTTGTTTATGCAGTCCTTCTCAGTGGGCTTTTCGAACACAGGAATGTGTGAAGGCACCTTGTAACTTGGGCCCGCTAACTCCGACCAGCCCTGGTTTTAGGCAGCTATTCTTGCATCCGTACTTTGGACAGTGCTGAGGATTGAACTTTGGACCTGCTTAGAGTGGGATCCAGCTTCAGCTAATGTATTCCAGCAGCCGTTCTGTTAGGAAACAGAGATTTCTTTCGTCTGGTGCCACTGTGTAAGCAACCAAGTGCTCGGGGTTTTCCTCCTGAGACTGGAGGAGGAATCAATATTTTTCAGTGGAAATTTGCTTTAGTGTTTCCTGCACTTTAGAAGAGGGAACGAGAGAGTCAGATATGGACCGGCAGCTGGCTGGAGGGACCTTGGAGAGGGTTCATTAGCAGATCATCTTGCAAACTTTCTTCTGCTTTGCCTCCACGTAGATTTTTGGAAATTAAAAGTATATTTGGAAGCAAGCAGAAGGACGCCATAAACTACCAGTGTTCTCACAGCCAGAAGACACCAGCTGGACTCCTTTGGTACTTCTCATTATGAATAGGAAGTGGGGAGAGAGCAAGAACTGGAGGCACAGAGGCCCCAAATGAAGCCTGGTAGCATTTCTGTCCTGTCCTTGTACATACACCGAGCAACATCCGAGATGGCGCCTCTTAAGCATTCCCTGATACTTAGACTAGTTTTATTTTTATAGCCTGCAAAAATGAACACCCAGCCTGTTTGTCATGCAGGTTCCAGTCTGCAAGATCTCGATGCAAGTCCAAAGAGACTTAACAGAGCAACCGGAGTGGAGATGCAGGAGAAAGTTACCTGCCCTGCAGAGTCATATCAACCTCACTGAGAGCATCAAGCGGAAAGTACGAGGAGGAAGAGGAGAAAAAGGAGCACCAAGGACTCTCATGTGTGTACCGTCATGTCTATAAATTCTGTTTTATGTAGAAATCTACTGGCATTTCAGAAACCGCTAAGGACTGGAAACTTGCAGCCAACATTTGGGTGGTTAAATTAAATGGAAATTGCTAATCCTGCACAAGGCATCCTGAGTACGACCTCTGCAATTTACTGAATGTAATTAATTTACATTGCCATGTACCTCAGGATCCCTTATGGGTGAAAACATCTGTGTTGCAACATCCTGAATACACACACAGGACAGGTCTTGTTGCATCAAACCAAAGGCCTGTTTTGCAACATTTTTTGAAAGCTTCCCATGCCAGGGGTTTGGTGGAAACCCAGCACTTTTCCCCCTGGAAGACTGATTTGGGCCCAGTCCTGTTCAGCTGACAGGTGGAGAGAAGAGGGTTCCAGCCATTTCTATGGGGAAAACGGACACCACTGTAAATGGAGGAGGTAGGCCAAAACCTACTGCCCCCCCCAACGAGACCTGGTGAAAGATGGTGAAAACACCAACTATGGATCTACCTTCACCTCAGGATGTTCTATTGTTAAAGGACCTGCACTGTGTGGGTATTCTGTGTGTACCAGTTTTGGCTTCAGCACACCAGCGGAGCCGAGTCGCCGAGGGGCCATGCTCGGTTCTGGCTGCAGCTCGACACCTGTTCAAAGGGAAGGGGGGTCAGGCAAGTCCGGGTGTTCACCCCCCCGCCCCCCATGTCAGCCTGCCTAATTCTGTGTGACGCATTGAGAAAAGCAGTCCAACAGCCCAGTGTAAATGGTACCTCTTAATAAATGCTGCACTTCTGTTCCGGGCTGCAAGAGTTACAGTGTGTGTGTGTGTGTGTGGCTGGGGGTGGGAATTACGGTACTCCAGATGCTGGCGCTCAGCTGCTGGGAGCCCTAGCCAGCATTACCGATGATGGACGATGGGATTCGGGAAGCTCACACATGCCTCACCTTTCCTGAGTTTCAGTAGCTCAAAAACATCTATGCCACAATTAGCCTGGTTTAATCCTGGGGTAGGTACTGGATTGCAAACCAAATCTTTATGATGTTTGATAAACGGGAAAAGTGCCTTCAGTCAGGCACTTTTAATTTTTTAAAATGCAAATGCTGAAGAACGATCACTCACCGGGTGCCATCTGCAGTTCCCAAACACTGACTTGAAGAACTAGCTAGCTGTTACCTGTGACTGACACCCTGCGCACACACCATACTTGCGAGAGGGTAAGGCTTCCTCCTGCAAGGTATTAAGAGCACAACCACTCGAAAATACTTGCAGGGATCGGCTCGCTTGGCAGCAGAATCTCGAAGCCTGCAGGATTTATCTGTCTCCAAGTGTTACACAGCCCTAGAGGGGCTCACCTCTGGTCTGTGGGCAACGAGCCCTCTTACGTCGTGCTCCTCTGTAAGGGAACGGCTTCCTGTATTCTAAGGGCAGAGAATCCGTAGCCCTCCGAGTTCTGATGGTCTACAGCTCCCACCAAATCTATGCTGGCTGTGTCTGATGGGGATTAAAGCCGTAAACATGTTGGACAACCCATGTTGACCCACCTAGAGATAAAGTAACTGCTTGTCCAGTAAACTGAGACATGATAGTTTGGAAGAACACCTGCTGGAAAATACGAGGTGTTTCACACCAGTGCTGCTTTTGCGTTTCCCACGGAGGTGCTTGGCTGGCCGTTGTGGGAACCAAATGCTGGGCCAGGGAGGCCTTTAGCCCGAACGGCTTCTGTCCTTAACACAGCCTCCCCCGCTCAGGAATCGCTTCTGTCTTAGCAGATTAATTTACCTCACACGGCTATAGCGCAATCCATGACGCTTTCACTAAGAAGCATGTGCCACCGGTTCTAGTGAAACTGACTTCCAGACACGTTCATAAGCACAGCACTGTAGCTGCTAAAAACCTAAACGCAAAGAAAAACAGGTGTGACGTTTGCTGGCTATAGGGCTTCCCAAAGAGAGTGATCCATGACAGATCTTGTTCTAAGCCTGCTTCAGAATTTGCGCTAACACATTTGAACCTTTGCAGCTGTACTTTAGGCAAATTGGCATGCTTACCCCTCCAGGGAGCGGCATGGGATAGGGCACATCAGGCCCTCTCCGAACAGCTGAGATTCTGTGCGCCGTTGTCACCTCTTGCCCAGTGCGGAAGCTAGGATCAGGCACGCAGATACAATTGGCTTATACTTTAAAAGGCAGGTTCCTAGACCTCAGGTTTGCAGTGAAACTTGGGTGGAAAGACATGCCTGCTCAACGTCATGGGTAGGCTGAGAAACGTAGAACGAATGCCTGAGATCTCCAGAGGGGAAACAGACCAAGAAAGAGTTGCCGAGTGTTTGCCTCGTCGGTAGGCGGGTTGTTAAAACAGGCAGCCAGAACCACAATTTGGAGGGCACACAGATAAGGTGACCCAGAGTGCAACTTGGAGCACATGGGCATGAGGGAGTTCCTCCAAAAGTCCATCATTAAAGGTGGGAAGACTTGGCTTGAGCCACGGTTAAAAGGTGCCCCTGGTTCGCTAGGTGGAACGCTAGTCCACATATAATCTAGAGAATGGGCTCCATCCAGCTTGCTACCCACAACTGCCTCGCACAATCTGTTTTCCTCTGTGATGGAAGACTGGTTTAACCGATTGGCTCGTCTCTCACCCTTTCGGGCACAATGGTGTGAAACCAAGCCAGAGGCGTGTCCTACCGCCCACCAAGCTTTCGAACAAGGGAAGCCCCGAAAAGGGGAGCTTCTGCGTGCCAAGCTGGGGTTCTACCACCGAGCCACAAGCCCTGTAGCTAACCCTAAATTTCTAAAGCATAGAAATGTTTTAATAAACAAACAAACAAACAAACCCTGCCTGGGTTGCACAGTAAAGTCAGACGCACGTGGAGGCTAAACCTACCATGGGGAAGAGGCAGCCATGGGAAGCCAGAACAAGCAGGCAGCTTGCATGCTCTGCTGAACGGTGCATTTACCACACAATCTCCCCGGCCTTTTAAGGAACAGAAACTGCCCACCACCTGTAACCGTAGGATGAGGTTTCTCTCTAGACATCCCGAAGACATAGGTATTACCTCCATGCAACCAGAAGTTTCTGAAAAGCCACCTGTTTGGCTCCATGATGGTAGCTTTCATCTGGGGCAAGGAAGGAGAATGCAAGAGGTGCCACCTCCCCTCTTGGCCCACCCACCTTTCACAGACAGGGCCCTGCAGCCAGCCCGTCCGGTGACATTCCCAACTCCCAAGCAACCATCTGCAAGCCATTCCAACACCCCTTCAGGGAAGTAAAACAAGGACTACACCACCAAGCCTGAAAATCCCTCATTTCGCAGAGGCTGGTTATGTTTTATTATTTTTTTCCTTTTCTCTTTTCCTCTCATTTGTGTTTTTAATTTCACTTGTGAAAAAAAAGCTGACAAACAAAACCTTCCACCCACTGCCTGGCCCAGCGGGGTCCCTGACATTCCTTAAATAAAGAGGGGGAGGGAGGGGGGAAGGGAAGAGGGAAGATGGAGGGACAGGGAAGCAATGCGGAAACGCAGCTTCCTGGTGCTGAGAGAGGTGGCGGGGGAGAGGCAGACACACGATACAGCATTCCTAGAAGCTGGGGCCCAGCACCAGTGGGACGGATGGGCTTCAATTTGGTCATTGATACCGGGAGAGGGGATCCGGCGACACAGCCTTGCGGTAACAGCAAGGGACTGAGGAACATCGGGACTGACGGGAGCCGAGACGGCCAAAGGCGAGTGGGACCACGCCTGGATCGTGCCCAAAGCCGCTCAGGTCGCAGGGGGACCGCCCCGCTGTCTGACGATACATTCATGGACTGGAATGCAGGAGCCGGGGAGCGGCGTGTGCCCCCAGCCTTCTCCCCTTCCTCCCACCGCAGGCTTGAGGAAGAATGGAGGAGTTATAAATTAGTTTGACGCACAGGACCCCACCCTGTGGGAGCAGCAGCAGCAGCAGCAGCAGCGGTGGCAGCGGTGCTAGTGGTGGAGGCTGGCCAGGGTTCAAACTCCCCTCCTGTGAGGGGTCACCACGATGTCCGTTCCTAGAGCAGGGTGAAGAACATGGGAAGTGGGGAGCGAAGGTGGCGGGGAGCTGCGGATCGTGGGGGCCCTGAGAGGAAGAGTTTCAGCGTGGGCAGGGGGCGGAGGGGGGCGGGGGATCATGTGGCGGCAGGACAACGTGGCGAGATGCAAGGAGCTACTTCGCGGCCGGCAGCGACCCCATCGGAGGCAGGCAAAGACGAGGGTGTCGCTTGTGGGGAGAAGCCGAGTGTGGGCGCCTGAAGGGGAGTGGGGGAGAGATGCAGCCAGCCGCCCCGGCCCTTCTCCGGGGCATCCACCCTGCAGGTGCGCCCCCCGCCAAAGGGCGGGGGGGGGGGGGGCAACAGGTACGTGGGGACGTGGGCCGGCCCCGAGCACGCCTGAAAGATCTGTGGGACCGCGGGGAAGGGGAGCCGGACGGGAAAGATACAAAAGCTCTGCTCCCAATTAGAAAACTCACGAGATGGGAGGACGGGGCGCGGGAAGGGGTTGACGGGAAGGGGAGCAAAACAGAACCAGCAAGAGAACCGTTGCCCAGACCTTGCCTAGGGGGGGGCCGCCCCCCCAGAGGGCAGGATCCAGCGTCAACGCCCCGCCCCCCGAGTGGTCAGGAAGCCTTTGGCCTGTACAGAGCCCACCCACCCCAAAACCCCCGCCTCCCCCGCCCCCACCCCCACCAGAGTTAAGTGGAAAAAAAAGAGATAGGCCAAGGGTACTCGGCAGCCGAGCGGGAAGGGGAGGGAGGCCCCGTCCCCCTCCGGCGAGGTATCATCCGGGAAAGCCGCCTTCCGAGAAGAAGAAAAGCGGGAGGGGGGGCTGGGCAGCGGAGGGAGGGGCAGGCTCCCTCGCCCAGCCTTCCCCGGGTCCCGGCCCCCTCCGCTCCGGCCCGGTCAGGTCCCTCCTCCTCAGCAGCAGCCGCCGCCGCCCTGTTTGACCGGAGTGCTGTCAATTTTCAAGTTGGGTCTGTCTCCGCCCGCCGTGGCGCCGGGGCCCATGCGCTTCTTGATCTCGGCCGCCATGGTCATGAACGACTGCTCCACGTTGGTGGCGTTCTTGGCGCTGGTCTCCAGGAAGGGGATCCCAAGCGAGTCTGCAAACTCCTGCCCCGGGAAGGTGAGGAGGAAGAGGACAGGTTAGAAGCAGAAACCTCCTCCGGCTCCGCTCAGAGACCCCAGCTCTCCCTCGCCCTGCTGGGTTTGAGTGATTCTGTGCTGGCCACTGGGGGAGTCTTTCTGGCTGAGGAGCAGGATAAAAATACCATCGCTAATTAAAATAAAATATTTCGCATACTTTCAGCTGCTGGAGAGCCCGAAAGATATAGCTGCAGCAGCTGGCCTCCAGCTGGCGGGCTCGTTGTGTGAGGCAATGCTCCCACATGGCCGGGCACCCCACACAAGCTGCCCCGTGTCCCAGGGAAAAGTTTAGGAATCGGAAGGTTCCCAAGGCAACCACATCTCCAAGGGAAGATGTTAACACTCGGTGCTTGGTCAAAGGGTGACGCTGGCTTGGATGAAGCAAGGTAAAAGGGGGAGAAAGCATGCACGATTTTTCTTATTTTGGGGGGGGGTGGCCCCCAATCCCCTCTGACTACAAGGACAGGAGCCCCCAGTGCGACGCTGGAGGGAGAACACTAGCAGAAACCCACTTGCAAAAGGGTCAATGGCTCCTGGCTATCTGAGCTCTGAACTGTACGCATCGATGGAATGGAGCAATGGGAAGCGGAGCGAAGAATAGAAGTTTTTTTATTTAAAAAGCTTTAAATACAAAATAAACCCCCATTCTCAGGGGCACTTGCGCAGCTCACGGGGCGATAGCGGGAATGCCAGATGTTGCTTTTACGTGGCCCACTTGTTTGACCTGGCATCAAACCACTGGAGTAATCAAGCAACACCCCCCTGCCCCCCCAGACCAGATGCGGTCTGGTTCTCCCCAGCTGTTTGGCTCACCCCGAAGCCGGGCATTTTGGCGAAGAGCTCGGACCCCACCTCTCGCTCCAGCTCAGCCCATGAAAACTCCACCCTGGAAGGCTGCATTTTGATTGATTGATTGATTGATTGATTTCCTGCCTTTTTCCTACAAAGGGCTCAAGGCAGCTTACATCTCCTCCTCCATCTTATCCCCACAACAACAACAACCCTGTGAGGTAGGTTGGGCTGAGAGTCCGTGACTGGCCCAAAGTCGCCCAGCTGGCTCCATGGCTGAGCAGGGACTTGAACCCGGATCGCCTGAGTCCCAGTCCCAGGCTCTTAACCACTACGCCACACTGGCTCTCACATTTTGCGAGACGTGGGCCCCGTTTGCCAGAGGGAGCTGCCCCCAGTGCGGCCCCCAAGCAACCCCTGGGCCCTCACCTTGGCAGTTGTGTAGTCCACCACTTTCTTCGTGGTCAAGTCGCACTTGTTGCCCACGAGGAGCTTGTTCACGTTCTCACTGGCGTAGCGTTCAATTTCCTGCAGCCACTGCTTCACGTTGTTGTAGGACTCCTGTGGGATGCAAGCACAGCGGGGCAGAGGATGAGGATGAGGACGAGCTGCGGCCGAGGGCCGGCTCCCGGCCACGCAGCGACGCGGGGGATGAAGCTGAAGCACCGCGCAGGGGAGCAGGCCCACGGCGGCTTCGCTGTGTGACGATGCCTGCGCGATGCTGACAGCAAAGCCAGGGCGGCCCAGCGCTCTGGCCTCGGCCTTCCACTGAACACCCTGGCTATGGAATGCGCTCCCTGGGGAGGTCTGCCTGGCGCTGTCATGATATGCTTTTTGGCGCCAGGTTAAGACCTTTTTATTCAACCAATATTTTAATGTTAATAGATCACTAGCATCATCATCTGTTTTAACTTATTCTAATAATTAATTTTATTTACTTCAGTTGTGGTACACCTAATTTATTATTGTTGGGGTATGTTCGTTGCATTTGTAGATTTTATTGTAAGCCGTCCAGAGACGAAAGTGATGGACCGCCTAGAAATATCCAAAATAAAATAAACTGAGTTTCCAGTTCTCAGGGCTAGGGACATGTGTCCCACCCAAACACAAGGCTTGAAGTCACCGCGTCCTTGCGTGGAACGGGGCTTTACTCATCCATTAATAGCTTTGCAGTCACCATTATGGGGATAAACCCGTCTCTTACTCCAGCATGGCCTGTGCTAATCTGTGGCAGGAACGGGGAGCCGCATCTCAGGCTCTCTGAACAGAGAACTGCTTCCGATTCAACGCACATTCTCACCAGCAACTAATCCCTGCAAACCCCCGACGGAACTAAGACCCGAATGCCTAAAACAGCACCAGCTCCCATAACCACCTGCCTGTGCGTCGAAGCGGCAGAATGTGGCTCTTCTTGAGCTTCATCGGTAGAAATGGCACGTTTTGTACGCTTAAGGGAGAAGGGCTTTTGGTGGGGCAGTGCTACGAGTTCGGGATGTCCTCCCAGAACAACGCGACATTCTTTCTGGCACCGGTCAAAATGTTCTCTTGCCCCATCGCTTTAACCGGATGGTACAGCTTTTTTGGCTGGCTGAATCGCTTCTTTTGATGCCTCTCCATTTTATTTTTTTTATTTTTTGTTGCACGGTGGGTGAGCGATGTGGCATGTTCGTGCAGCTCTGGGACCCAGTTTTGCGGGCAGAGGGTGGCTCCGAAACTGCTAACTGTACAGGGCAGGTAACTTCTGGCAGATGCCTCCGTTAGCAGCAGACCATTTGTGGCAAGGGGATGGGGTGGAGGCCTTGTAGACTCGCCCCCCTTTCCACAGCTCCTCGTGCTCAGGGCTAGATGCACCCTGCCAGGGCTCTCCCTGCAGCACTCGAGGCTCCCCCTCAGCTCCAGCGCGGTGCTCTGCTCTCCCTCACTCTTTCTTAGACTTTTCCCACTCTCGGCAGTTGCTCTTCAGCTCCGCTTTCCCGCTGGCTGCAGAGGCAGGCGGCCTGCTGTGATTTGGGCTGCCAGGAGGGAGTCTTGGGGTGGGGGATTCGGAGACCTGATGCTAGTCTAGCGCAAGCTGGAGGGGGGCCGTGGAGAAGAGGAGAGTCCAAGAAGCATCGGTCCAGGAGCTGCGATGGGAAGGAACCGAAGGGGGCAAGTGCAACCTGACTGGAGAGCTGCAGCGATGTGCCGTGAAGCCACCAGAGGGGAAAGGGAATGTGGGAGACAGAGAACGGTGCCGACCCACACTGGGAGTGGCTTTCGCAGGCAGCGCTCGGGTGCAGGAAGGAGCACCCCGAATCAGAGTGGATAGGGAAGACTGCTCCTCTTCTTACACTCTCTCTCTCTCTCTCTCTCTCTCCAGTTCTGCTTCCCCACCTCACTGTTCCAACCAGCCCCTCATTCGCCGCGCGGTGGTTGCCGTACCTGATCCGTCACATCATACACCACAATAATGCCGTGTGCTCCTCGGTAGTAGCTCGAGGTGATGGTCCGAAACCGTTCCTGCCCGGCTGTGTCCCACTGGAAAGGGAAGAGAAGTGGGAAGGCGACAGATGAGCGCAGCACCTTGAGCGGCATCCTGTGGAATGATGCTACAGGCCTCGCAAAGTCACACATTCCCTTACGGAAGTAACGCTTTTCCTCCCTCCCCTTCGCCCACCCACAGGAGCGAGGAACCTGTCCAGGAATTGGGACTAGAAGCACACTTCACAGAGCAGTCCCCACATCCCGCAGGGGAAAACGCTCCGGTGCTGTCGGAATGAGGGGAATTATCATGGATCAGCCAACAGCTGCTTATTATCCGATGCAAAATCTGGGCCGAGAGGGCAGCATGGCCTCCATCACACTGAGGTGAAGGGAACAAAAAAGGCAGAATAAAATTTTACTAAATCACTACTTGAGAGGTGAAGCTGTGGGGTTCCTGGTCTGCACAGCATTAGCCCACGCCACCGGGACGAACGTCGCTGGTACTGGGATGGATGGCAGTGCCCTACAACCTTTATCCCTGCAGTAAGCCAGGACAGGGGGTAACAGCAGGGATTCTCCAAGGGAGCAGGGCTTGGAGGCCACCCCACAGCCCCCGGAGGGATCCAAGGTGTCTCTGCAGGGAAGGAGTGGAAACTCAAACTCCACAGGCTGGTTCGGGCCTGTGGGCCACAAGTTCACCTCCCACGCAGAACATGGCTGCTTTGGGGGCTTGTTTCAAGGCCTTCTGGAGAAGCGGGCCACCTGCTGGTTTTGCCAACAGGACACTCACAATCTGCAGTTTGATGGTTTTGCCATCCAGCTCAATGGTGCGGATTTTGAAGTCTACGCCGATGGTGCTGATGTAGCTCTCTGTGTAGGTATCATCCTGGGGGGAAAGAGGAGAAGGGAAGAGAGAGTTTAATCGGCAGGAGGGAGTTGAAGGCCCAACTCCTCTCAATTCCCACGTGCTTGGACATGCCTCAAAATATACAGCCCTTCCAACAGAGAAAATCCTGAAATGTGCACAAGAACAACCAGGAAGGGAGCAGCTTTTTTAAAAAAATAACTGTATGCAAGTTGCTTAATTTGTTTGATCCACAGAATTTGGAGCAACCTTAACCATATGCCTAGAGCACCCTTTGGCAAGGAAGCACCTGAGTGGGATGCCTACTCAATCCACGCTTCAAATCGCAAAGTCTGCCAGAACCAACTTTCCCCTCACGTTTGCACATAACTTAGAGCAGGGGTGGGAGGAAGGCTGAGAGGAATCTACTGTGAGATCGTCGGCTGATCTGTAGTTGATCTACAAATCAGAGCAACAGAAGGAACTCTGAAGCTTCTTGCCTCTAGCTTAGGTGATGGGGGGCAGTTCTTGAGGGGCCAAAGTGGCTTTTTTGTGAGACTGGTTCTGATGCTAAGTATAAATCCCGAGGATAAGCCCGGGAGCAGAGGCACCTTGCTCCTTATTTCTCAGCACGGAGCGACCTCCTTGAGCTGCATTTTGTAAGTGGCCCTTGCACTCGTGTGCAAGCCCACCTGCGGGTCTGAATTCCGCCCAACCCTGTTCCAGGTCAACCGTCACCCCCACCTCAACTGGATTTCAGGGAAATCAGGTGTTCGTCAAGAGCCCACTGGGGTTTCTCAGTGACCAGGAGGAGGCGTCACTGGCTTCCCCGAACAGTTTTCCCCAGCACGACCCCTCTTCCCTCTGCACTGCCAACAGTCGCTCCCCAATAAAGTCACGTCAGAATTAACCAAGGCACTGTTGTATCTCAAGCCCACCCTGTGATCAAAGGCAGGGAACGAAGAATCTGCTTAGAACCCCAAAATGCACCCTAAATGGCAATTCACTCAAATGTCAGCAACGCTTTTATTTTCCCTCTGCGCATTTCAGTTTTTGGGCTTGGCCAGCCGTGGGGAAGGTGCCCTGGAACGCTGCACCGAGCTGTCCCCACGAGGGCCAAGCCACTTTCAGGTGCCACAGCTGCGCAGCCGAGCTCTCCTCCCAGCCATCACGTTGGAGTCTCTTCCTTTCTGCCCTTGCGTGTTTTCTGGCTTTACCGGTTGACTATGAGCCTGCAGGCACAAAGTTTATACAGGGCCCAGAAAAAAGCAAACCTATTACCACTTGAACTCAGTTAAGGAGGTGAAGGTGGGTGCGAAAGCTTGTCTCAAAATGGGTTCATGCCTTTGAACATGACTTGGCACCACTTCAGTTGGCAAGACGGGTATGGAAAGAGCTCCCGTAGGGCAATAGCGTTTTTAAAAAGTTTATCTAGAACCACCCGCCACAAATCCCTGGGGCGACGGGAAAATAGGACTAGAGAAAACACACTAGTGCTCTGAAAATAGTGCTCTTTGTAGAATATTTTCCTTGGTGGCAGAGGAGGGTGGGAGGGGGGAAGAGCGCAAGATTCTGGAAGATTATTAGTCACACGGCTTTGCGCCTGCTTCCTGGGCCCACAAGGCCCTGAAACTGCTTATCACCAAGAGGCTGCTCAGATCAGCTGCCTTCCCTTTGATAGAGCAACTGTGGGTAAGGACGGCTCCCGCTTTGGGTGTGGCGAAATACTCACAGCGAACCGTAGCAAGAGGCACGACTTCCCCACACCGGAGTCGCCAATCAGAAGCAGCTTGAACAGGTAGTCACTGGAAAACAGGCAAGGGGCAAGCTGACACGGGTGCAGAGAGTGCCCCACTGCATCTCATTGTTCCCAGGGCTCCCTTTGCTTTCTGGATACCATGTAGAAAGCCCGGACAGTCCTACCCCAGCAAAGGGCACGTCGCCCTTCTAGGAATGGAGCAGGAAGCGCAAAAGCGGGGAGAGCACCGAATGATCAGTTGCTGGGGAAAAGCACTGGACCCCATGGCCAGCTGCAGGACACTCAAAGCACCAGGCAGGAAGCTCAGGGAAGCTGAGCTTGGCCCCTGGCCTGAGGTTCTCCATCCAGAGTACAAGGTCCTGCTTTCCTGGAAATTCGAGCTCAAGGTGGAGAATGAAGGAGTAACCACCTTGGAACGACGGGACGGCATTCGAAGGCATTCTGATAGTTACCTACTGCAGAAATCCGCAAGAAGACGGCTCGGCCACAAAGCAGGAGAGCCGTACCCACCCCCACTCCCCTCCAAAACATGTCTGCAAAAGTCCGCAACATCTGTAGCACACAGATGTTCTGCCAAGGTGAAATAGGACAGAAAATGGTTGTATCTTTGACTTGGTGCTCCATTTCCTTATGTTCTCATTTTGCTGGGTACTCAAGCTTGGACATGGTTTGGATGTACTGGACAGAGTAACAAGTCATTAGTCAGATAATTCAGCTTTCAAGTGCTACCACCTCAGAGCAGAGATTCCTGTACTTACCTGGAAAGCCACGGGGCAAGGATCTGTGTTTGCCATAGTTACAGGCTATTTCTAGGGGCCTTGAAAATTTAGCTGCTCTTGGTGGTCGGGGCTGGAGTCTTGCCTCTAATGCCACATCAAGTTTTTGAGGACTTGGGAAAGAGGGAGCACTTATCCCTATTATATGGGCTTCAGAAGCACTCAGACTGCCTCTAAGGCCAGAAGAATCTACCCATCCAATGCTAGCTTTAGATGCAGCTGACAAACAGAAGCTTTTACTTAATTAGTCCTTGTCCTAATTAAAAGATGTGGTCGACTGCATCAAGCGCTACTGCAGATCTCTGGCTGCAAGTCTAGTGTTGTCCATGAATTGCCAAGTTGTTATTTACACAGAAGCCCAAATATGCGAAGAGGGGAGCCAGCAAAAGCTCCAAAGTTCTTACTCCCAGGTGGGAGACGGAGCACACCAGGGGTAACTATACTCCCTTCCCCACTCGCCTGTAAATTTCTCCCCACTGCAACACTGCACATCCAGCAATGCTAACCATGACTGGCTTTAACCAGTGTTGCTAACACACTTCCAAACTCTGGTTCAAAGCTCTACATAGTTTTGCCGGCCAGACAAAGAGCCACTGTTTTTGACACCGGCAGGTTTTACAACTTATCCCTAGCCCTTCCAAAGCAGGAAGGAAACCCCACAGCCTTGCGTGTTCAGGAAAAACAAAATGCCAGCTGAGCACCGGACCTTCTCCTGTCATCTTTCAGACCTAGATTGCTTCCCCTTCCTGTCTGGAAGGGCCCTGGAGACGCTGCCCAGTGTCACCCCAACACATCTGAAGGCACAGGCCCAGCAAGCCACGACTGGCATCAGCTCAGCAGCGGTCCTGTGGTGTTGTGCCAGACCGCCCAGGCCATCCTACCCAATCGCTCCCTGAAGCAGGCAGGCCCCCGGGGTCAGGCTGTTCTCTCCCATGAACTGAACGGCAAGCGCGGCCAAGAGGCAAGCGCAGCCAACAGTCGGAAGGAAGGAAGTTTCTTAACTAGAGCGTTCGACTGGGGGTGCAGGAGAAGTGACAGGAAACAGGAGAGTCACGAGAGAGTGCGCTGGCGTTTTTCCTTATTAAGCACCACGGGGAAGAACTATCCCTAATCTTCTGCGGGTGAGGAAAGCAGTGGCATCTGCAAAACCAAGAGGTACTCCTAGTCGGGACCCCGGGTTCAGGCATCGAGCTCCAGCCACAGGCTCAGGAAGCCTCCTAAATACCACCGACATCGAGGCGCTGCTACTCCCGGCCCGTTCAGCAAGCACAAGTTCTGCGCCTTCCGGCTTGGCACTGACACAAAACGGGCTCCAGAAAATGAGCCTGAGCGAGACAGAAGGCAACCACAATTCTCGATTCAGAAGCCTCGCTACACCACTTTTTAAAATCCATTTGCCAGGTGGCACCAAGGGCGAACATCCTTTGCTCTCCAGCAGAGAGGTACTCCCAGCCAACACAGCCCAGCCGGACAGATCGAAAAAATTCAGGGTGGCCAGATGGTAAATCCAACCCATTCCAAGCAGATGGGGCAGAACCTGGGGGTTCGCTGGCTTCACATCAGTCCGTGCCTCAGGGCAGACCCGGGGGCAAACCGTGACCTTACGCACAGTTGTGGACCAGCAGCCATTCTCTCTCTACACCTAGTTCAAGGCAGTATCTTTCTCTCCAGAACGCCAGCCATTCCTTGAGGGCTACGAGCACATGCCAAGTATTTCAGTCCTAGGTCGATATGAAGCCAAGACCTCCTCTGTAGCTATTAAGGTACAGACTGAATCAAATGTTTATTTATCCGATTTCTATCCCACTTTTTCCTTACCACAAACTCCAAGTGGCTTACTGCTGCTGCTGTCACTCTTATCCCCACAACAACAACCCTGTGAGGTGGGTTGGGCCCAGAGTCTGTGACTGGCCCACAGTCACCCAGTTGGCTCCATGGCTGAGCAGGGGATAGAACCCAGATCACTGGTCCCAGCCCCGCACTCTCAGCCACGACACCATCCTGGCCACAAATGTCCACAGGCCCAAGGGGCTCTGCTCCTGAGATCTTCCCCAGCAGAGCAGGCTTTAATGCAAGAGGATTCCAGCTCCAGCCATGGAGACAAGAGGCTGCCTCCGTTCTAAGGCCAGCTTACCACCGGAGTGAACTCCTGCTCTGCTTGCCCGAGCGAGCACTTAATGTGATCCTTAGCCATTAAGGGTTCAAAGTGCTTCAGGGATACTTTCCTCAGCCCCTCGTGGTGAGGTAATTCAGGATTAGGTTTCTTCCCCATACCACGCCCCTATTAAGCTTAGGAGGCAGAGAATCATGGCCTGAGCGAGGCTGCTTAGCAAGGCAATGGAGAAGCCAGAATTCCACTGAGGCTTCTGGGTTCAGCAGCAGGTCTCTTAGCTGCTTACTGCACAAGCTTTCTCCCACGGTGCACAGCAGAGTCTTGGCTCAACCGGAGTTTGGAAGGGGACCCTGTTTGTCATCAGCATCTACAAAGACGCAAACGTCTATAGTCAACACTTCCAGCTGCCATTAGCTTGGCTCAATCATCAGTCCACTGGGAAAGGCATTTGGGAGCAACAAAATTAAACAGCACCAGAGCAGAAAGTCCTGTTCTTTAACCTCAGATATTATCTTGTCTCACACAAGCCAAAGCTGCCTTTGCCCTCACCTTCACCAGGAGGCTCATCGGAGACCACAGGAACCATGGCCATCCTCGGATGCCGGGAATGAACCCTTTGAGGGCTGGCGCAGAGCAAAAGGTGTGTTAAGCCATCTTCTTGGGTAGCAAGTAAGCCCTTGGCAGTTAGCCAATATGTACTCTGCAAACTGGAGCCCAGGTGAGTCGCTCGCCTGTAGGATGTTGTACTGGTCTGCCCAGGTTAAGAAAGCACCAGTCATGCAAGCATTCCTTGGCCTGCATCCATTCTAACTGTCACTTCACATCATGATGTGACCAATCATTATTCATGGCTTTGTATGAGCCAAAGCTGATCAAAAAAGCAGAAAAGCTTTGACTGCTGCATTTTTTAATTTATTTATTGGGGTATTTTTGCCCTGTCCAATACGTTGTGGGTCTCTGGACAGATTTGACCAGAGGAGAGATGGAATGACAATTGGTTTGTTTCACATTCAAATGTGAACCCATCTGGTTTATACTTCTCAAATACATGAACCAGAATGCTAAAGCTTTTTCCTACTTCAACAAATTTTGCTAGATAGTTCCCCAGTTTTAAAAGACCATTTTTATACAGGCAAAATTACATGTGGAAGTGCATGAATTAGTAAAGAACGTCTGCAAAGAATCCATACACATTTGGACATGTGAATTTTCAAGCAGATTTAAAAACTACATTGCAAGCTGAAGCAGAAACAAGTTGGAATGAACTTGTCCTTGAAAAAAAAAGTGACCATAACTTAAAGTAAAACTGACCAATCTATCTCGCTATAGGAAAAAACTCCATTGTCATTGGACCCTGGGATCTCAGAAATTCCTCTTACTTGGGTTTTGAGACTTCCTTGCTAACTGTGGCTGGAAGTCTGCCTCTCCAGCTACAACCAAATGTGCTTCTGAGCACCTGCAGAGCATGTAGCCTCTCACGGTTGTAGGAAATACCAGGAACAACTTTGGAACAACCCTAAAGGACTTTATCAAAGGAAACCCTCCCAAGAACAGCTTCTTATACAAAAATAAAGCTAAGCAAACTGAAAAACCTCTTCAGAACGTAAGCTCCTCAAAAGATAGACAGGTTAACCTGCTGTCTGAAAACAAACAAGTTTATAGTAGGATACAGTCCATATGAACAGATGCACGAAAAACTCGATTCAGTGGGAAAAAAAGAGCATGAAGAGGCTTATCAGCAGACTTTAAACAACCACTTGTCTGGGCAAGCAGATACCTTCCTTCATAAACCAACGGATAGCACAAGCACACATCAGTGGGAACAGTAAGAGAGAAAAGCCGGGGGAAGTCAGGAGATATTTCTATTAAATAAAAACATTTGCACTACATAGGAAGTGAGAGAAGAGGCTAAGAAGAGTTTACACGCCGATTTATTTGGAACCCAGTCCCGCCAAGTTCAACAGAGCAGACCTCCCAAGTAAGAGTGAACTGAATTGCAGCCTTAGGAGAGTTTAAAAGAGGGAAGGAGAGGGAATGTGGCTGTATTTCGGGTAAATAAAACATGCAGAGCTGTACACATGCACCAGCATAAAAGGGCAAGCTTTTATGCTTCACCTTGCCAGCAAAAATCCTTTGTCTCTCTCCCAGTCCTCTATCCATGTGTAAATGAGAATTACACACGCTCATTTGAGGCATTATGTAATTTAACAAGTCACCTTAACATTGGAACCAAATAGAAAAGGAGAAGTGTGCCCTCAGTCAAGGGTGTAAAAGAGGGATATAGAAAGAAGCCATGATTACTGTATGGCGAACAGCCTTCTTTAAAAGAAGGAGCAGAGGAGGAGGAGGAGGAAAAAGAAGGAAAAAATAGGGAAATGGAGCAAGACAGGGCAAGAAGAGAATAGTACAGGAGACTAACTGTGCAAGAGGCAGAGGGAATGGTACACTTCAAAATGCAAAGGGATAGCCAGGGTGGCATAGAAACTGATGGTTAGCCAGGGATTCAGGAGACCCGGGTTCCAGTCCCAGCCATGTAGCCCCCTGGAGAACTTTGGGCTGCAACGGACTCTCAGCCTAACCTACTTCACATGGTTGTTGTGAAGGCAAAAAGGAAAGAGGAGCATTATGTAAGTCAACTTGTGGTCCTTGTAGCACAAGGAAGGACATGACATACATATAATACATCTCTTTATAATAGCTATATTTATTGCCAAGGCGGTGTAACAATTACAACGCTGATGTGAGATTTGAGAGATCCCGGTACTAAGCCCACTCCCCACAATAAAGCTCACTGGGGCCTCTCGGGGCCAGTCACTAACTTTCAGCCTAACCTACCTCACAGGGTTGTTGTGAGAGCTAACATGCAAAGGAGCAGGAAGCTCAAAGCAGCCGCCTTGAATTGCTTACAACAAGGGTAGGAAAGTGAAGACGAGCTATAGCTATAATTAATTAATCAGGCCAAGAAATAGCAGCCGAGGCCCAGGGAGAGAAAAGCAACACTTCAAGAGGCTGACAATTGGAAGGAAAGGAAGCGGCCCCAAAAAACGCGGGGGCCAAGGGGGGGGGGCTGAACCGCGGAAGGAAACAGCCCCAGCGGCGAATACACGGTGGGGGCTTCGTCTCCCTGCCGCTTCCCCCGAGAAGCAGAAGGGGGCACCGAGGAAGGCAGGCCCGGCGCCTCTGCTCCGCCGAGCTTTCCTCCCCGGCTGTCAGCGACGCCCACAGGAGAGGAGAGGAGAGGAGAGGAGGGCCGGGCCGGGCCTACCTAGGCCTCGTATTAAGGCTGGGGGGTCAGGGAGCCCTGCATTGGGCGATAGGGCAACCTCCTCCCTCCCGCAGCCCCCGCGTCAACCTCGGTGGTCGGCGGACACTCACTACTCGGGGTTCATGGCGGCTCCTCCGCGGTGGGTCGGCGGCTGGCTGGCTGCTCCCTTCCCTCCCTCCTTTCCTTCCTCCTTTCCTTCCTGGCTGGCTGCTCCGGTCGCTCCCTCACACAAGATGGCGGCGACAGCTCCCTCCTCCCCTCTCCCTCCCTCTTTTGCCCCCCAGGTGCGAATTATCAATGCGCATGCGCACTCGACGCGGGGCGTGCTGGGAATTGTAGTCTTCCCCCCTCTCCACCCGGAACTCTCGTCCTTAGACCGGCCGCCTTTCGAAGAACTCCGAACCTTCCTTTGCCCGGCCGCGCGGCACGACGGGAAAGGGCGTTCCAAACTCACACGTCACGCGCAAGCTCCTCACCCCACTCCTGGCGTCCGCGTGACGTCAGTAGAGCTCGCCCTACGGCAGCCCGTCTGGCCAAAGGGCGTTGCGCGGCGCAGTGTGTGCGAAAGCGCGGCCGGCTCCCCCCCCGGGTGACGAGCCGTCAAATTATTACACTTAGATCCTGCTTTTTTTTTCCGCGAGGGGCATGCCCAAGGCGACTTGCATCGCCCTCATCCTGCTCGCCTTTCTGTCCTCACAACAGCCCTGTAAGGTGGGTCGGACGGAGTCCATCACTTAGCCAAACACCCAGTTCGCTTCATGGCGACACAGGGTCCAGGACCCGGAGCTCCTGAGTCAGTCCAGTACTTGGGCCATTGCATCTCACGGGATCTCAAATGATGTAAGTCTGCTACTATTTGACCTCTATTATCCATAAGCAAAACAGTATGTTTGAATACTATATATTTTATTTGCATATGTGTATATTAACTTTATTTTAACATGAATAAAATTACTATTAAGGTATTAATTTTTGTGCTTGTATTTAAATATGAGTGTGTGCATATGATTTCTATACACCACAATCAATCATCAATATCTCTTCCAAGTGCAAACTTGGAGAGGGGCTCAGAGGGGAGCAACAGCCTTTTCACTGGTGGCTCCATAACCATGGAATGCTGGTGCCAGCTGTCTCATCCTTTTGGCCCCAGGCTGACAGCACTTTATGCCAAGGCATTTAAGAATATCTTGGGATGTTTTTTGGGTTGAGGGGAAGACTACCTCAAGGTCTGCTCTGTACTAAATATTGTAGCCGTTTTAAAATTTCGGACATTTCTGTGTTACTGTTTTGTTTTATGAACTGGTATAATCCTCCCAGAGAACTACAGAAATAAATAAAAATGCACTAATTCATCTCAATTGTGGCATGTTTAAATATAGATTGGAGGCACACGGACAACATACCTATAAACTATCTTTTTGCAATATTACATTATGCACTTCTTTTGCATAATGTGTGTTAAAATGTAAAAAGCAATCCTATTCTTGTCATTGATATACACTTGGGACTAAACTTTAGTGCTCTCCTCGTCAATCAGTGTTTGGGGAATGGAAACAAGTTTAGGCAAGGGAATATGGTCCTCTCAGAGAGCTCAGACGATCACACTGGATTTAACCCCCAGGCCTGAGGTTCTATGAGCACCCTCACAGGTGACAAGTTTGAAAAAGACACACGTTTAAGTTGTGCTTCAGATCTGCCATACACAGCAATAGGCCAGCTAAGAGGGCCAAGCATGTTCGTGTCCAGCACAGGGGAGATGAAGCAGCTCAGAAATATTTTCTATTCCAGCATGCTGTGGAAGGGGGAATAGAAGACTGATACGACTTTTACTGAGTTCTGGAACTGAATGTCGCTGTGCGTGATTAAGGGGTAGGGGGAATATGGGGAAGGCTCACGTAGCTGTCTGCTACAGGTACAAAAGACACAGCCAACATCTTGATTCTCTGAAACGCCTACCTTCGCCCCCTTCTTTGTCAAGGTTTTGCTGTGGGTGGAATCATTCTCCTGAAACTGGAGTAATGCTCAACCTCAGATACACCCATCAGCCTTTTCACATTATGCCAGCCTGCACGGGAGGGCCACAACTCTTACTGGCAATAAAGAGCAGAGCTGAAGTTCATTTGAGAGGCGGGGAAAGAGAGGGGAGGGAAAGATGCACCAGGGGGTTGTCCTTTTTGCAAGTTTTATTTCTATAGCAACATAATACAGAGCAAAATCTGCCCCTCCCCGTCAGTTCCCTTCCTCTCATCCCACCCCACACACACAAACACACTCACACTCAAGTGAGGCAAGCTGCTGTGAGCACTGCCCAGTTGCAGGGCCATTCCTAGGAGAGGGGAAGTAGGCAAGGCTTACCTCCAGCTGCAGTAAAGAGACAGGGCTGCACGGTGCGTTTTAAAGAACCCCTTTGTCTCCTCTTTTGAACTACAGGCAAAGGATTTCCAGAAGAGACCCCTGATTTTTAAATAGCTGCTGCACAGGAAGGAGTTAATTCCAGTAGAGACAATTTCTTCCCCTAGTGAAGCACAATGAAGGGAGGATTTGCAGTCGTTGGGATTCTCCATCTTGAACAGCGACTGAGTGCACAATTCGATGCAGGTTTAGACAGAAAATAAGGCGTGTTCATTCCCAGCGTTTCCCAGACAGCTATGGCTTGCAGGAGAATAGCAGGACTTACATTCTGCCTAAAAGCCCATAGGATTGCACCCTAGGAGTCACAGCAACCTTCCCCCAAATTAAATCCAGAAATCCTGGGACAGCAGCGGCCTTGAGGAAAGGGATGTGCTCTCGGTAGGGGTGGGTGGGTTAGTTCACAGATGCAGAAGGGTCTGTGTGCCCACTCCAGCTTTTAGCTGCAGTTTTAACATTGCTCTAGATGGCAGATTTATTTAGTGTGTAGACTATCCTTTCTGAGCCTGTTGCCCTCCAGATAGGTTGGACTCCAACTCCCATCAGCATGCACTGTTGGGTGGGAATGATGGCGTTGTTGTCCAGCACAGCTGGAAGGGGACGAGTCAGGAAGAGCTGAATATTGTCAGAGGTGGTTTTAAGAAATGCACAGACCAGCAGCTGAACCTCCTCTGACTTCCCAAATTATAGCAGGGATGGGGGAAACGCGTGTCTGCCCTTGCTAAGGTGCAGGGCATTGAACGGCGACTCCCATCAGCCCCTGCTTCTGGCCACAGCCAGTACGAGCTGCAGTCCAGCCACCTCTAAAGGGCTACCTGCCCCTGCTCTTACTCTAGGAAAAACCTGAATTTCCACTCTGAAATGATGCCTGCTCCCCATCTGCCCAGAAGATGCTTCCAGTTTCAAGCTCATATACAACAGTCAGTCCTGAACGACTGCAGAAAAGGTGCAGTTAGTCAGACAGCCAGTTTAAACTCCGCTCCCGAAAGCAGCATCCGCATGACGCGCTGGCCGCTCCCACCTCGCTGTCGCTCGAGTCCAGCAGGAAAGGGCGGCACCAGGCCCCACATCCAGTCTCTCTCCCGGCGAGGGCCAGCCGTGCTTTACCTTGGTGCAAGCGAGCAGCGTCCATGAGGCAAGCCTTCTTCCCCCTACCCCAGACCCTCTTTTTGAGGGGTGAAGGAGGGAAACGCAGGCAAGAGATGTTTCGTGCGTGAACGGCAGCACTGCGTGAAATGGACTAGGGGGACACGTTTTCAGGGGGACGGTGCTGGCGCCACTGTCAAGGCATTCAAGAGAAACATGGCGGAGCGCAGGATGAGGAAGGGGAAGACGAGAGACGCAGCATGCAGCGGGGGGTACGAACATGGATGGTTCGGAGTGGGGACTGGAGGTCTGAAGGGCACAGCATCTCCCTGAGGCCAAAACACAAATGATAACGACAGACAGAGACACGCACGCCGGGAGAAAGGAGAAACGAAACAGGGCTGTGGCAAGGGACCCGGGGAACTGCAGTTCTTGGTCTAGGCTGCTGAGTCAGGAGACGTGCCTGGCCCTCTTTGCCCCGGCTTCCCAGCTGACTGGGTTTGCCCCAGCAGGGTGGAGCGTCACTTCCGTGCGCCGGAATTGGCTTTGGCTGCCGAATTGCCCTTTTCCGCTCCCCATCTTTCTCCCTTGCCTGCCACGTCTTTCCCTGACAGATGAATCTAGGGAGCTCTCTTCTCCGACCCACCACCCAAGAACCACAGTTCCCTGCATCCCAGGAACAGACTGCCGAAAAACGAGTAGCACACACAAACACACACAGTGCAGTTTTGGGTTGCTTAGTGACGGGTTAGATCACCTTAGTCTTTCCGAGGGGCTCGGCTGCAGAGGGATTCTCGCGGAGTGGGAGAAAGGCAAAGGCAACAGACTTCAGAGCCGCACTTGTCCTGCGAACTATAGTCTTTTCCAGCAGTGAAGTGCGAGGACGAAGTGGCGGCCGCATGCTGGCGGTGGAGAGGAAGACGTCGTGAGTGCGAGTCAGTGTGTGACGGCGGGGGGGGGGGGGGAAGCGTGCCGCTCCGGCCACACCGGGTGAGTTGCGGCACAGCTCCACAGCGCGGGTGGCTCCTGGCGCCGTGCCGGGGCAGGTGCTCCAGGAGCAGCAGCAGCAGCAGTGGGGAGAAGGCAGGAGGGGTCCGACGTGGCGCGGGGCTTCGTGGTCCAGCCCGGGCTGGGCTGCTCCTCATGCCAGCAGGGAGCTGCGCCGGGAGAGGTCGACGTTGCTGGCGCTGAGGCCCCGGCTGTCGGACAGGCTGCTGGTCACCTGGAAAAGGGGGAGAGGGGGTGACCACTGTGCGCGGGGGGATGCTGGAAGCAACTGGGCAGCAACGACGGGTTAATTCAAAGTGAATTGTAGGTGGCAATTATTTTCCGACCGTGTGTGTGTGGTGCGGGGGATGGCACCGTTGAAATTTTCTTCATTGGGCAGACAAATGTTTGGGACACACGCTTGTGAAGAAACCACCGTTTCCTTCCCCTGCTCACCAAACCCCCCCCCCCCAAATGGACAGTCCCAAGGTGGAGGCCCCTGTACCTACCTGGCTTGATTCCTCTTCTACACTTTCGTTCAGGAAGTTCAGTGAATTGGCCCGCTTCATCCTGCAGGGGAGAGAAGGCGCCGGAGAAGTCAGGGGGTTCGGTCCATGAGGACGGAGAAAATGGGTGGGGGGGTGGGACCCTTGCTGAACACTCTGAGCGCCGCTTGGCTGACGGGCAGGATAAAAATGTTAAGAAATAAACTCTGGGAAGGCAACAAAAAAGGTTGCGGATGAGCACGAAGGGAAAATCTTTCCCTCCAAGTGGATTTCAGGAGAATCAGAAACGTGGCCTCCCTTTTATTATGACAGAAACATGAAAATAGCCAGGAAAAGCAGGGTAGTGTAAGGAGACAGCCAGGGTGGAAAACCTGGGCCCAGGCTCTTGGTTTGGCCTGTGCAATGGCCCCACTTGCTTCCACGCCCAGTTTCCTGGCTGTTGTGGCCATCCCATAAACCACGTGCTCCTAAAGGGTGAAATGCCTCTTCTACAGAGCTGTGAAGTAGCATATTTTAGATCCTGCCCACCCGCAGAATGAGGCCCCGAGAGCTGCTCCAGCTGGAATCCAGCTGTAGGAATATCAGAACTGTGAACAGGTGCTTGGTCGGTCGGTCGGTCGCTTCAGTAGGCACGGGTCGCTTCCTACACCCAGGAGCCGCCCTGGGGCAGTTTCTCCCGCCCTCCACAGCTCCCCATCGCCTGCTCCCCAAGCCCAGCCACTCACCCTGGGTTCCTGGGCTCCTGCGGGCTGCTGCCCTGCAGCTTCTTGACAAGCATCTCGCTGCTCCGCCGCAGGGCGTCACGCAGCTTCCCAAAGGAGCCGCTGCGTCGAAGAGCTCCTGAGCCCACCTGGAGGGGAGGGGAGGGGAGGAAAGAAAGAAGTCATGGAAATGGTGAGAAGCAGCCTGGTGGGGGGGGTGGCGGGGGGAGGCGGGGAGAGAGCCACTGCAAATGTCTTCATGCCAGTGCGGACAGTTTGTCCTAGGAATGTGGGAAGCTTTCATGCAGCGGCTCCTCTCCGGGGTTCCAGGCCTACCTCGGGACGCCAGAAACTGACTCTGCATGCAAAACAGGAGCTCTGCCGCTATTGTTAGCCTTCCCCTAACAATGAAGCAAGTTTCCAGTCCTCAGCATTCTGAATAAAGTGTGGATTTGATAGGAAATTGCGTCCATGGTCCCCCCGGAGAGCGGCTACCAGGCAGAGCTCTTTCCTAGCCCTACACCAGGAGCTGGCGGGGAGGAAGGCTGAAGGCAAAAAAGGCAGGGGCCAAACACAAGACCCTCCAGCGCACTGTAGCTGGAAGTGCCAAGTACCACTAAGTCGGCCTTGAGAAAGGGGATTCAGCCTTCTCGAAGGCGGAAGGCTCCGTTTGAAGACCAGCTCATTAATGGGTTGTCGTACGGGACACCGACACCCACAACGGGTTCTGAAAGGCTCGGAACGTGCGCACGAATTCCGCGCGGCTACCCGTTGAGCGTGCAACTCGTGACTGCACAGTGCGGTGAACCGTGTTTGCAGCCGGCGATGCAAAACGAAACTACTTGAAGGCCCAACCGCACACGGGTTTGCCAGGACGGAAAAAAGCCGGCAACCCTTGGCGTGTCTCATCCAGCCTTCTGTCCAGAGAAAGGAGCATCTGACCTGCAGCAAGAGCTCGCTAGCTTCGCTGGTCCTCACCCCAGTCCACTCCGTGGCTGCGTCCTCCGGTTCGGTCCTGTCCTCGCACCTGCTGCCGCCAGGGGCTCCCTCGCGGTTCGGACGGTGCTCCAGCTGGTTCCCATCCTTCAGCAGCTCCACGACCTTGCTCTGGTTGATGGCGTCCATGCCCTGGGGGAGTGTGCAGATCAGCCGGAGCCACCAGCTCAGCCAGTGCTGGACGGAGGAGGGGTACCAATCCCCCAGCCCACCGTTACTTCCGCACTCCCTTCCGCTCCCCCTTGCGGAAGAGAAAAACGGAGGGGAGAACACTTTCAGCTTCTCGGAGTTTCATCTTCCTGGTGTTGGAAGAACGTGAGAAAGCCCTGCTGGATCGGACACAGGGTCCCTCTGTCCCAACACTCTGTTTGCACCGGGCCAGCCAGCAGCCCAAGGAAACCCACAGGCAACACAGGAGTGCGAGAGCACTCTCCCACCCATGTGCCCCAGCAACTGCTGTGCATGGGCACACAGCCTTCAGGACTAATAGCCACGGAGAGCTTTCTCCTCCTAGGATTTGCCCGGTCCTCTTTTAGGGTGCGGCCACCGCCCCATCTTGTGGCAGTGAGTTCCAGAGTTTAACAAGGAGAGCTGTGGGGACGTCTTTGTGCCACACTTGAAGGCAATTCTCACTCGCCACAGGCGAGCGGTATTCACAAGCCAGTGCCTGTCACACGCATGTTCCCACCCCCACCGTTGAGATCTGCCCTTTAGGAACTGCGATGTAACACACACCTGTTTGCGGGTTTTCTGCGCACACTCCTCCAGCGTCTCTGCGGCCTCCAGCTTGCCCTGGCGCCGGTACAGAGCACCCAAGCTTTTTAGAGTCGTGTTGACCGTGGGGCTAGAGAACACAAGGGCAGGTGGGTCACAGACACCCGAACCCCAACCCCAACCGGCTTCAACCTACTTTAGTGGCATAGGACTTGGCTACCTGAAGGACTGCTTTCTCCTGTATATGGCTACCTTGCCATTAAGATCTGGGCCAGAAACTCTTCTGAAAGAGCCACCTCTGCTTTCATTTTGGTGCTGGGCAAAAAACTTCTCTTCTCCACCCATTGATTTTAACAACTGATTTTAGATGTTTACGAATTTTATTGGGATTTTAGTAATTAGTGTGGTTGTCCGTCTCACCTTGACATGTTTTAGAATGATCTTTGTTAAATTATTACTACTATAAATTGTTATTTATATTTTTAATGTTAGTTTTTAAAGTTTTGTTTTCTGCTTGCTGTATGCTGCCTAGAGAGTCTTTCTGGACTATTCAGCAGGCTATGAATTAATAAAAAAAATACCTGAATAAAAGTGCAGATACTTTACCTGTCTACCTTACAGGTTTTGTACCAGCTGCCGTACTCCCCATAGGGGGCGCTGTCCTTCTCCTTGCGCTTATTCTGGAGGAGTAACATAAGAAAAAGCAGTAGGGAGTCAGAATGGTTTGGATTCTGCCCCAAAGTTTTGGGCAAGGATAACAGGGTTCCCCTCCCTGTCCAAAATCGCAGCAGTACCTTGCTTTCCTCTCGCTCTTCGGCGTGCATCCAAATTGGCTTATTGTCCCCTGCGGAGTGAGAAGGAAATAGAATGCGCCTACGGAATGCGCTCCCCAGAGAGGTCCGCCTGGCGCCGTCGTTGTTTTTCGGCGCCAGGCCAAGACCTTTTTATTTCAACGCTATTTTAATAACTTTTAATATCAGTTTACAGGTTTTAATATGCAGCCAGGGTGGATCTGGATTTTATCTGTATTATTATTATTATTATTATTATTATTATTAACATTTCTATGCCGCCCCTTGCCGAAACCTCGGGGCGGCTTACAACATGATAAAATACATTGAAATACAATAGTACATAATAAATTACCATTAAATATAAAAATACAAAAAAATACATTGATTTACAAATACAAAATTAAAGTTATCAGTATAAAATAAAAATATAGGAGGAGAAAGAGAAGGAAGAAGAAGTTGCCCCAGCCAGATCACATGTTTTAACAATTGAAATGATGTTTAAATAAAAAGGTCTTTACCTGGCGCCGAAAAACAAATAACGACGGCGCCAGGCGGACCTCTCTGGGGAGCGTATTCCAAAGATTGGGCGCCACCGCAGAGAAGGCCCTCCTCCGAGTACCTACCCTCCTAATTTCCTTCACGGAGGGTTCCCGGAGAAGGGCCTCTGCCGCAGATCTCAAGGGGCGGTCGGGCATATATGGATGTAAGCGCTCCTTTTATTTATGTAAGCTGTCCCGAGGCTATGCAGTGGGACAGCATACAAATGCTATATACATACATACATATAGCATGCATACACACACACACACACACACACACACACACCCCTATATAGGTAGGTAGGTAGGTAGGGGTGTGTGTGTGTGTGTGTGTGTGTATACACCCATATATAACCTATACATATATATATATCTATACCTATCTATATAGTATAGATAGATAGATAGATGGGTCTGCCTTCCAGAGAGCAAGACTGCCAGTCCATCTAGGGCAGCCTTGCCTGCTGCTAAATTGTTCAGGGAGAAGCCCTTGCCCAGCTCTTCCCAGGACGTTCCGCAGACGAAAGGGGGGCTGTGGCAGGGAGGGCCCATTCTGCTACCTAATGAGCCTGCCCCTCCATTTTGTCCTCACAACAACCCTGTGAGGTATGCTAGGCAGAGAGTCAGCGGCCGGCCGGAAGTTGCAGAGAGTGCTTCCCGGCTGAGTGGGGACTAGAACCCAGAACTCCCGAGTCCCCAGTCCGACACCGTAACCCCTACACCGCGCTGGTGTGCACTTCCCTTCCAAAATGTTGAAGTAACTCTCCTAAGGTTTCTTTATTGGCAGCAAGGTCTTCAAGCTAAGAGAAGGTGCGGGTTTTGGTCTTCTGGCCCTGCGGCATCTCGTCCTTGCTCCCCTGCCACTGGAGTGCTGCCCCTGAGAAGTTCCCCAAAATGGAATCTGATGCTTTGTGGGCCAACCAGCAACGGCTGTCCCAGAGGGAATCTCAGCATGCCTGCTTGCATATTCTGGGCCATCAGCTGTTTGGGGTGGGGGCAAGTGCCTGAAACCACAAAGCCCAGTGGCCAACTGCCGGGCTAGGATACGCCCGGGAGCGATCTCCGTGGTTTGTACCGCGCATTTCAGACGAGCATCCAGACCCTTCTGTGCCAAGCGCTCTCAGGCAAGGACACTGACAGAGCAAAACAAGGCGAGGCTTTCGCTCTCTGTGGAACGTGGTCGAGGAATTTAAGGCCCGGCTCGCCAAGCCCCGCGATGGGGCGTATCTCCCAGGGTTTGGAAGCACTGCCCTGTGAAGAAAGACTGAGGGAACTGCTGAAGGAAAAAGGCAGCACATGAGAAAGATTCCCGCTGCTTCAGAACTTCGCAAGAACTCGGCAAAAAGCGGCCAGGGAAGTTCCTCGGTCTCTTTACTGCACCACCAATGGAAGAGATTAAAGCAACAACAACACGCAGCTGTCAAATCTACAGCAAGGACAAAAAAGGACCACAGAACCAGCAGGACTGTTCCTGACATGAAATTCTTACTATTCTCCAAATGAGGATTAGAATGTGTAATTCATACATAAAAATCATTACGTTAAATTTCTATCCCGCCACTCAGCCATAAAAGGCTCTCAGGGCGGTTTACACCAACTAAAATACAAGATACGTTAACACAAGAGATAATAAAATACAATATAAACCAAAGTGCAAAAATTCAAACCTGAACAAAATAAAGTCAGCTACATGAGGCAACAAGCACAGAAATTGACATAATTTATCAAGTTTCTAAAACAGCAGCAGCAATACAGAGGCACGAAGAGGAACCAGTTCATTATCATCATGTAGCTGAGAACCACGAACCACCTGCCCAGCCAGCCAATGGCCAGAATCTCGGAACCAAACGGGCACCAGCGGATCGTGCCCTTTGCCCACCACCCCGGGGGGAAGGTCCCTGGGAAACAGCCCAGCGGGAAGGGAGGCGCCACCACCCACTGCTGCTCTAGAAGCCAGGCAAGCAAGCGCCAACGCTCCTCACCCACCCATCCTGGTCACCTCCATGACTTCTAGAGACTTGAAGCCTCACGCCAGGGTCTCCAGCACAGCAGAGGCTGCTCTACTGCGTGACCCTGTGGCCCGTCCCCCTTTCCTGCTCTCACCGTTGACGGAGCCGAATTCCCTCTCGTGTGCTCTGGTCAGGATGTCTTTGTAGAGAGCTTCAGCATCCTTGTATTTGCCTTGTTTGAGGTAGCAGGAGGCCTGGAAGGGGATATTGAGGGTTAGCCAAGAGGACAGTCAGTCGTTCAAAGCATTTTTACCCTGCTGGGCGGCTGTAAGGGGCATCCGGAAGGACGCAGACAGTTCCGAAGCGAGAGCCCGAGCCTGCAGGTTTACAATGCAAAAGGAAAAGCGACTGGGAGGGCCGAGGAAAGCTAACCAGCTCCGGCACTAGAGGCTCAGTGGCAAAGCTTGGCATGCGGCTGCAGCGGAGCGAAATCAGAGGTCTGTTGCTTCCTCTGCTGCCGTCAGCTGGGCTTATGCCCAGAGAAGATGGAAGAAGCCGAAGCTGGCACTTCCACTCCCTCCGATGGCCTCAGCACTGCAAGAACCACTGCATCTTGCATCTGCCTTTCAGAGGAGCTGGTACTACCACTCCCATCATTGCCCAGTCCGTGAAGGGTCTCCTCATTCTGCCTCGCCTCCCCCTCCTCCCCGCAGCCCCGGCACAAGCTCCCCGCCCCACACCCCGGCAACCTCTCTCGGGGGCCCCCACCAGCCCCTCACCAAATTGTTCTTGGTCTTGGCCACGTTGGGGTTGTCGGGCCCCAGGCGGGACTCATAGATCTCGAGGGCACGCCGGTAGTAATACTGGACCTCCTCATACTTGCCCTGGTTCTGGCACAGCAGGGCCAGGTTGTTCAGCTGCTTGCCCACGTCCGGATGGTACTTGCCCAGCACCTGGGGCAGGGGACAGGAGGAGAGCACCGAGACGGAAGGGCTGTTCTGAGCTTCGTGCAGGGGGAAGGGGCGGGAGAAATCCTGCTTTCGTACAAGACGCTTTCCTGCCTAGGGATGTCGCTTTTACCTCGGTCAATCCCCGTACTGGTTTTTCCAGCAGTGCAGAACCTCGAGGTGGCCATAGCCAGCGAGTCTGTAGTCCCCATTCCCCCGTTTCCTCCCAGCCACCAAACGTCCGGGGAGTTCAGGATCCATGCAGATCCTGCCCCACCAATTCTTAAAGAGTTGAGGGGACGCTCCGACAACTTAAGTTATTGGCAGTGGGGATTTTAGATTTAAACGGCCTTCCACCTTCAGTCCCGGCCGCCCACGGCGCAAATGCACCTTCTCCCAAACCGAATTCGGCCCCTGGACCCTCTGCCGCGCAGGGCCTACTTCGATTTGGAGCAGCTGCCTTGGACGTGAGGCAGAGAACGGTCTTCCCGTCACTTGCTCCAGGGCACACGCAACTTCGTTTCTGCGCAGCACGGCGCGCTCGGCAAGGGAGAAGAGCGGGCGTTGCGCCAGCGGCCCAGCACGACCAAGAGACACGGAGCACGTGGGGCTCCCCCCCGATACTGTGTGCCCCCAGCTGGCGTAGGATGTTCTCCACCACGGCTGACAGGCAACCACAGGGCTGGCTGCACTGCCTTTTGGGGTGGCGGTGGCCGCTGGCCAGACTGGCCAGAACGAGGGGCAGCCAGGGTGCCCTTCTCGACGTACCTTCTCTCGGATCTCCAGCGCTCTCTTGCACAGCGGCTCCGCCTCCTTATACTTGCCCCGCTTTCCGTACAGCACGGCCAGATTGTTGAGGGTAGCAGCCACCTGGGTAGGGAAAAGCCCCCTCCCCATCAGCTACTGTGTGGTTCAAACTCTCTGGGTGTTTGTGCCGCTGCACAAGCCCCGGAATGACGTCCGCTCCCAAAGGAGAGAGCACAGAAATTGAACAGGTCTGGCACCCGGGTGAGCTGCGAGCTCCCTTTTTCATTCAGCGGAACAGTCAAGAGGATAGTCCTCATGGCGGCAGGGTAAATCCTCAAGACAAACATCCAGAGAGATTCTCTAAGGACTCTCCAAAGTGAGGAATCGAGGGGCCTTGGTGAGTTTCACGCGGCATGTTTCTCAGAAACCAGAGCTCCTCCACTCCCGCTTGTGTTTCCAGGCTGCTTCCCTTCCCATATTAATATTCTGAAAACATCCCGAGCGTTGAAGTCACCCAAAAAGGCCCCGCTTGAAGTGCAAGCCTTGAAGGCAAGGACTGTATGGTGGCTGCCCGAGAACTCTGGACGTAGCTCCCTCTCTCCCAACCCCTGCTGAGCTCTGGAGAAGTAATCCTTAAGAGCAGGATTTCTTCCATAAACCTTGTTTACGTTTGAACGTTTTTGGCTTGTTTTCAGCAAGATAACTCTGTTTGCACAGCCATGTCATATACTGCTTCGAGAGGGCCTGACCAGAGACTGCTGCCTATTTTTAACTCAGCCCTGTATTTATTCAGTATTTCTTACTGTCATCACACCTTTTCTGCTGAAGGAATGAAGGTAGCATAAAAGATCCCTTTTATCCTCATGGCTGCAGCCATGGGATGTCGGGCTCGGAGTTACTGACCGGGCCCAACTACACACAAGGTTCCTGGCCAAGTGGGGGGCTGGATCCTGGCTCTCCCAAGCCCCAGTCCAGCATTCTAGTCACTGGACCACAAGGGCTTCCATTAGCCAAAGAGACACCCTCGCAGGGCAAGCCATGTCTGTTTCACCGAAGCCTGCCAAATAGCCCACGTTTGGGAGGCCGGGGCACTTGTAAATGTGATGGACAGCACCACCCGGTCTTGCTGAAAAGGGCTGGGATGGTCTGAGAGGATGCTTACGGCTGGGTGGTCCTTCCCCAGGGTCTTCTCCCGGATGGCCAAGGCATCGTTGAGAAGATGTGCTGCATCCTTGAACTTGTTTTGATCCCTAGAAAGCGAGGAAAACATGCTCGTCATTCTGCCAGGAGAGAATCTGACCTCTGAATGCACCAAAAAGACGTGTGGTACAGTCCTTCCTGGACTGCAGCATCTGAGACAGTTTGGGCAGGGTGTTCCTAGCCATGTTTGAATGCTCTCTCAAGGAACATGGCAGCCTGAGTATCAGGGAGAAGGCCTCATCCTGGCAAGCTAGATTTCCACATGCAGGGCAGTTCTGCCATCTTCTCCTGAAATAGAGGGGTGTTCCAAGCATGTCACCCCCTGCAGCCTCCAAGTGGTTCACTCCCAGAAGAACCACCCCACACGTTTCCTCCAGATTAGTTCTAGGGGCAAGAGCCAAGACCCCACCTGCACACAGCCGGCCCTCCCTCCTACCTGTACACCAGTGCCAGGATATTCAGCATGGTAGCGACATCGGGGTGGTCGTGGCCGGAGGTCTTCTCCAGGTCTTCCAGGGCCTGTTTGCAGAGGGGCACAGCCACCTCGTACCGGCCCTGCGAGGCGTACTGGATCACCAGGTTATGGAGGGTCCGCAGGCGGGCGGGGATTTCGTAGCCGCCATGCTGGGCTGCTGCATCGCCGCTGCCGTGAGCCGGCCCTGTGGAGAGACGCTGCCAGGTCAGCTCCGCCTTCCTCCAGGTGAGCCCTTCCAGGACCTGAAGGATGCTGCCAGGTCCCTCCCACCTCCGTCTCCTCTCCTCTCCTGCTGGTGAAAGAGCTCCGGGGCCGGCTGGTGGGGCCAGAGAAGGCCACCGTGGCTCTGGGAAAGAGGCCACAACTCACCTTGCCCCTGGTCGTCATCATTGGGGAAGAGATCGTCCAGGGTGTCCTTGGCTGCCTCCCCACTCTTCTCGTCCTGGGCAGAGAGAAGGCGATCAGGACGGAGGCGCTCCTGCTGCAGCACATGGGCAGGAACCCAAGGGGCGGCCTGCCTGCAGCCCGAGCGGCAAAACCTGCTCCCCCTGAACTGAGGCTCATCAGGCCTCACCTTCCCTTGTGCTCATTTACAGTGCGGGGAGGAACTTGTGGCCTTCCAGACGTTTTGGCCTGCAGCTCCCATCAGCCCTGGCTGGCGCGGACAGTGGTGAAGGATGATGGGAGCTGTGCTAAGGAAGGCAGGCTCACGGAGCAACGTCTTGCCCAAGGGGCCCTCCAAAGCCTGCAGGTGGCACAGAGCGGGGGAGCACCCACCGAGGGAGAGACATCCTCGTCGAACTTCTTAATCTGGTTCATGAACTCCAGGTGCTTCTTCTCCTCCTCGAGCTGGACCACGGACTGCTCGCTCTGCTGCAGCTTCTCCTGGGTGCTGCCCAGCTCGTCTCGCAGCCACAGGTTCTCCTGCACCAGGCGCCGCACGTGAGCCCGCAGCTTCTGCTTCTCGGATTCCACCGCGCTCAGGTGGCTGGACAGGGCGATGATCACCTGCAACCGGAGAGGTGGTGAGAGCAGGCCCACGCCGTTCAGAGGCCGACGTCGCCCAGGGCTGGGGAGGGGACGAGGGCACCACGAAAGCCAGCCCGCCTACGTCTAACCCCCAAGCTAAATGCAGAAAGAGACCCTCTTCCGTACGGAAGAAAAGGCCAGCCAGATCACCCCCAAGCATCTCGCTTCCCATAGCAGGATCCTCTAGAAATTGGAGGGAATTCGCTATAATCGTTACAGACAAATAGACCAAAAATCTGGCCCACAAAAGGCTGGCCCATTCCAAGCAACCATCAGCAATACACTGATTCACAGACTAACTAAAATGGAAGCCGTCTTCACAAGAGCACCTGGCCGTGTGAACAGAACAGGGGAGAACGCCCCATCACCAAATCGTAGGACTTCAGTTCCCCTCAGCTCCGGCCAGCATGGGTGCTGGTCGGGTGGTCGGGAGCCGCAGTCCAAAAGATCTGGCGGGGCCCCACCAGGGAGTGGCAGCCGGCCGGAGAAGGCAGCCCGGAGCTCCGCAGGCAGCTAATCTGAGCCGAAAGCGGTTCCGCGCCCCGATCCAGCAAGCGTTACCTGAGCTTCCCCGAGGCCCAGCTCAATGGCTTCCAGAGACTTCCGCAAGAGGCTGGCCTGCTCCTGGGCAGCGCTGGCTTCGTGCTGCTGCTCCAAGCAGCTGACAGTGTCGAGCAGGGTGGCCAGCAAGGAGTGGTGCTCGCTGCGCAGCGTCTCCAGGCCCTGCACCACGGCCTTGGTGCCCAGCACGATCTCGTCCTGGCTCATTTTCTCCAGCTTCTCCTCGCGGGGGTACAGCATGGTCGCCATCGCTGGGCCTGTACGGACAGGACAGGAGATGACAGAGCCGCAGCCTAGCGTAAGCCAGCACTGTGGTCACTCAAGGTCTGCCAGGGGATCGCGGCAGCGCGTGCGATCTTTTCTTCCGTTTATCCTGATAACAACCCTGTGAGGTAGGCTGAGTGGAGAGTTACTCGCCCGTGCTCTGGAGAGGGGCTCTGGCACTTGCATGGCCTGTAGAAGGTCCCGCTTCAGCCCCCGACTTCTTCTGCTTGGGCCAGGAAGGAACCCTGCCCGAAAATTGGGAGAGCTACTGCCCATCGGTGTTGACACCCCTGAGTTGGAGGAACGAAAGGGCTAACTCAATGCAAGGCGAATTCTCATGTTCTAAGTTCAGCCAGGGAGCTCTGTGCAAGAGTAGGGATTTCAAACCAGTTCTTCCTAGTTCTCTCTACATAAACACACGACTAATACAGGTATGCACAGGTGTGTGGACTTTTATGCTATTTGAGTTAGCTCATGGAGTAGCGAAGTGACAAAGAAAACAAAGCTTATAGCTTTTTGGGTCAAATCTCAGGTCTTGCTCAAAATGTACCGCATGGCCTTCAGAGAGCCATTCTTCCCGCCCGCTAGTGCCAAGTCCTTCAAACCCGTGACATGTGCTAAGCAGTTTGTTCCCGGTGCCCCGGCCCAGAGTTGCAGCCGGTATCCTTAAGCAGTGATCTGAGCCCTGCCCAGGAGGAAGATCTGGACAAACGGGGACCAGCCTTGAGTCAAAACACACAGGAATGGGCTGCAAGGGAGTGACGTGGCAGCTGGGCTTTGAATACCTGCAGCAAGAATGTGGGGCGGGGTGAATGGAGAGCTGAACTCGAGGTGAGGCAGAGCCCCAGAATCTGTTACGTATCCGAGTTCAACAACGTATAAAGCCACAGCGTCAAGGTGCCCCGAGTCACTGCTGCTTAATCGTAATAAACCTTGCAGCACGTCGAATGAAGGCGAAGGATATGCAGACGTGATATTATGACGTGAACCGCAACATGTTAGGGATGAGAGAGAGGGAGGGCGGGCCGCGAAAATAGCTCCCCGTCATCGCCCTTCTCTCATGTCCAGCCGTCCTTGCCGTTCCCAGCTCCTTCCAGCAGGTGGCTGGCTCAGACCTGGACAATGGAGACGCAATGCGGCGTGGAGTCCCGAGCTGGAAAACCAAACCGCCGTCGCAGCGCAGGAGGGAGCAGCTCAGACTCCCCACCCACGCACCACGACGGACCCAAACGCGGGGCTCTCCTCGCCGGCTGCCAGAAGCTCATGTCTAAATACCAGTTCTGGGCCAAACAGTTTCCTCTCTCTCTACCAGGAACAGATTTGGAAGCAGGAGTCTTGGCAGAAAGAGGACAGAAAGGAGATTGACCCCCACCCACTAATGAGCTAGGTTTTCCAGACCACCACCACCTCGATCTCAGCCACACCGGCTTAAACAAGCTCTCCCTCTCCTCGTGCTGTCCTTTTATGTAATTTCACTCTCCTTTTATTAAAAAGGTTCTTGGAGAGGCAGGAAGAAGTGATAGACTGAAACAGCATTAGAAGCATCTGGGTTTCCTTCTTTGCCCAATGGTCTCCATTTAATATAGATAGGTTCTGCTATCTTCTTAGTACAAGCGCATAAGCTTAGATTAAAAAGGGGCAAAACAGCCGCCCCTTCACCCCAAACCATGAAAGATGAAGCGCTGCATATCTGTTCTAGCATGTGCGCACACACACACAAATCAGAGGTTGGAAAGGAATCTGCAGGGTCTTTTTTTCACTCCCAGCCTCTCTGGCAAGTTAACTGAAATGCTTGGGTGTCTTTGTCATGAACTCTGTGTGTTCAACATTTCCGCCTGGCCATCAAAATGCATGCGAAGGTCATTTGCAGGAGCTGGAAAAGCAAGGTCACAGAGGAAAAGACAAACGTCTCTGCCATGCATCTCAGGGGCTCCATCCAGGCCCTCACAAACTATCAGAAGTACCTACAACACCAAACTTAAGACCTAACGGTGGGATATAACCCAGTCCTCTAAAATACCCCATCCTCCCTTTCCAATCTTTCTAGTCTTTCCAAAACTTTCTGACCAGTATAAGACTTTGCCCTTGCCCTGCTTAGGGTGTGCTGTGTGTGTGCGCTGTGTGTGTGTGTGTGTGTGTGTGTGTGTGTGCGCGCGCGCGTGCGCGCGCGCGCTGTTTGGGTTTTTTTCTAGGGACGGGGTTGGGGGATGTGACTCCTGTGTTCACTTGCCCCCTCAATTCATCCTACCACCTTCAGAAGAATTTTTGCCAGCACTTTCAAGAGTTACTAGCTGTTCAGCCTTACATGGTCCTTTTTGGGGGGGTGAGGATATTTCCCCACCTGTTCATGATATGCATTCATGGAATACTACCTGTCCCTTCTCTCCTCAACATCTCCATGGCCATCTCTGGCCTCGCCTTGATTCCTCCCCATGAGGAAGGTTCATCTCTGGTTCTGTATCTGGCATCCCTGCAGAAGGATAGATACATCCCTGACTTTGAGGACTTTTCTCCTTGGGCACTGCTTCCTCTGTGCCACTTGAAGCCCCTTTTGAAACATTAAAGAATCCCTCTCTAGTTTTTATTTGGGGGGGGTGATGGTGGAGTAATTCCTTCCTTCTTTCTTTCCTCAAGCTTTTGGCCCACCCACCCCTGGTGAGAAGCCTGCAGCCTGTCCCTCCTTACTGAGTGATGGCTCCGTGTGTGCTCTCAGAAGGCCCTAAAGCCAAGCAATTCAAACTTAGTCTTACCGACTCTGTATGGGGCACCCCCCTCTGTGGGGGGCCTCTTCTTCCTTTGATCATGTTGAAGGGGAGGGACTATCTTTACTCCTCCTTTCCTACTCTTTGAGGTTTATCGAGATCTTAGCTGCCTACCCTGCTTTTCTCAGGGGGGATTCCATAAACTTTCCATATCTTGAACAGGATCACCTCTACGTAACTCCACTCTCATCTTCTAGGAGACCCCTCCTCTTTCTGGAAATGTAGTTACACCTCACCCTCATCCTACAGGGGATCCTTTGGTCCATCAGGCTTAGCCACCCACTTTTGCTGAAGGAGAAAAAAGGGAAGAGTTACATTTTAATGACCTCTCCTTTTCGATCTCTCAAGTCCACCTCTCCATTTCCTAACCATTTTTCCCCTGGGGGAAAAAATGTGCTCGTTCCTATATTTTGGAGATTTTTTTGCAGCGCTTCTTGTTATATAGTTCCCCCTTTCTATGATACTCCGTTTCCATGACAGATGTTTTTTCAGCTCTGGGGTTCCTGGCATCCTCACCCCCACTCCACTGTAACTCTTCTTCATCACCAACTCTTCATTTGGTTGGTGCGTCCTGCTTAATTTTATTCCCCTCATGTTAGGAAACACTCCTCAATCCCACTAGCTTCAGAAAACTCACCCCAACCCTTTTTTCCCCAAATGGGGGGCTCATTTTGCCATATAGGGCTTCTCTCCCTTGAACACCCCACGTTCCTTGCCACTTAGGAAAACAACATTCCCTTTATGGAGTACCCCTGAAGCTTCGAAGGGCTTCATCTCTACCACCCCATTGCTGAGAAAAAAATCTTTATCCCAGAACCCATGAAGTTTAGGAAGATTCCGCCCCCCCCCCCCCCCCACAACCATCCTTCATTTACTGTACTGGGAGGATCCTTTTGAAGGTTGGGAGTCTCCCCTGCCTACCCTTCCCCCTTCCTTCTCAAGGGGCCCTACCAAAATCCCATACGCTGTCAGGCAAGAAAACGTACCAACTCTCTGTCTGCACGCACTGTAGGGGGCGCAGATTCCCTCTGAAGGCCCCCCAACCTCACCCCACGCACCGGCCCGGAGAGGACCCCCCTCACGTCGCCCCTGGCTCCGCGGGAGCCCCTTTCCCACCCATGTCATCGGCGTGGGGCGCTCCCTCCCCATTTCTCTTAGCACGACAGGCCTCGCTCTCCCCCCCTCCCCAGCTGCAGACCCCTCCTCTTTTTTTGGGACACGCACCCCAGGCTCCTCCCCGTTTCCGGGCAACATTTTCCAGGCCCCTCTTCCCCTCTGGAGGACGCACACGCCGGACCCCTCCCTTTTCCGGTGGGGGGACCCGCCGGACCCCTCCTTCTTTTTGGGGACGCGCCCCCAGCCCCTCCAGAGGGGCGCACGCGCGCACGCAAGGCCCCCCTTATCCCGGGGGTGCACACCCGACCCCTCCTCTTTTCTTGGGGGGACACACCCCCCAACTCCTGTTCCTGGGCCACCGACACAGCGGACCCCCTCTTACCTTGGGGGGAGCACCGCGGGCCCCTCCTTTTTTCGGGGGGACACACAGGACCCCCTTTTCCGCAGAGTGCCCCCCGGGCCCCCGCCCCCCCGCCCCAAGTACCTGCGCGCGCAGCCCCTCCCCAAGTACCGGCGCGGTTCCCGGCACCGCCGCTTCTCCTGCCGCTCCAGCTCCACCTCCACCACCGGCGGCCTCACATCCTTCCCGGCAGGCGCTGCGGCACCGGCAACCGCTGGGCTCCTCCCCAAAACAAGAGCCTTAAAGGGGAGGGCCACGGGGGGCGGCCTTTTAGTGTCGGGTGACAAAAAACGCCGCGCCGAAAGTGGGCGGGGAGAAATAAAGGGGAGGAAGGAGCGAGGCCGCCTGGGTAGTCTCCACAGGCGGCGGGGGGGGGGTTGCCAGGCCCGCCTTCCCCAACGTGGCGCCCTCCATACGCGGGACCCTCGGCCTGATCCGGCAGGGCACGTCTTCCGTTCCCAGAGCGAGATGAGCGGGATCGAGCCCGCGCTTCCACAAGGAACAGGATTTGAACCCGCGTCTTCCCGGCCTCCTGTAACTCCTTTCCTGGCATTTTGCAGGCCGAGGATGCTCTATTATGTGTTTATCATCTTTGTGGCAAGGAAATGCTTTGACCCACCAGAGCGCTTTCTCTGGGGGACCCTACAGAAATGACGGGAGCTAGAGCCCAACATGGCAGGAAGGCACCAGTTTGGAGAAGCTTGCTGTGCTTAAGATTCATTAAGATATTCCTCATTTCGTTAGGAATTTTGCAGGGAGAGGTTATCGCCTCAGGCGTGCTTCCTATGGGCGAAGGCCCAGACTCTTCAGGTGGGGCTGGGAATGCTGCTTAAAAGCTTGGCGAGCAGATGCAATCAATCCTCAGTTTTGGACTCCGAGTTTGGACTCTGCGTCCAAGCAAATGGGCGGTTTGCCACATTGAGTGACCAGCCTTTGTTTTGACGGAGCAGCTTTAACCCAGTTCCCTCTAGGTCTGCCCTACAGCAAGCTCCTAGTCTGCTGGTGCATGCTGGCTTGACGGGGACAGGTGCTGAGGGTTGCGTGTCTGTGGCATGTGTCACAATCTTCCCCCTCAGAGATGCTGAAAGATGGAGGAGGAGAATAATGTAAGCTGCCTTGAGCCCTTGGTAGGAAAAAGGCAGGATATAAATCGGAAAATAAATAAATAAATAAATAAATAAAGCTGCAGTCCTAGAGAGAGACCTTCACCGAACCCGGCAAACCCTGCTTGGGATTGCACTGCAGTCTTGAGGCCCGACTGTTCGATTCAAGCTGTTCTCTTTTCAAGGGAACTCATAAATTAATACTTAGGTAGAGCCGCATGGTGAGACAAATCAATTAGAAAACCATCCGATCAATTAACAGGGTATCTTGAGTACTGAGGCAGGCTTTTTTAAAGTTTTTCAGCTGACCTTTTCAAAGCGGCCCGTGGGAAGCGTAATCTTAGAGGCTTTCCCCCTTTCTTGCCCTCTTGCGAGGAAAACATTCCTCTTGTAAGATTATACAGACGCAAGGTGCACCAGGCACAGGCTAAAACCAGCAGGCTTTTCTTCAATAGTTTCAGTCACGTGCAGATGGATAATGCTGTTGCATTAAAAAAACACAGGAGTAATTCAGTAAGTTTCCTTTTATCTAGAGCCATGACTTAAGAATGAGGTTTAATGGAGTGTGGATCTCATGTTATCGGTTTTATGGCCAAGTTTATGGCTGCGGTATCAAGGAACCAGCTGCGTTATCAAGCCAGGAAGGTGGCTTTACTTTTTTGAAAGAATATTCGTGTCCTGCTGCAATATATCTCCTTGGAGTGATGTCTACAGTGCACCACCACCCAGCCCTAAATAGTTTTGGATTCTGAGTTGCTACTGGCCCAAACAAAAGCCAGCGGATTTGAGGGCACAGAAGAGCTTTCGCATCACGGTATGTTGTCCAAATCCGAATTCACTCCCTTCACTTCAGCTGTGGACGTTCTGACGGCTCCTCTCCTTGCACTGCCCACTCTCCAGCCAGCTAACCCCAACTGCCGGTGGGATTTTGCAGGGGAACTGTCACAAAGTGGTCAAGCTCACAAAGAGTGTTAAGAAAAGAACACAATTTATTTAATGAAAAACTCAAAAAAAAAATTGGGAAGGGGGAGGAAGACCCCAATAAAATGCATCGAATACAAACAAGGCTCCGCGTTTCAAATGAAGCAAAATTGTTTCATGTGGACCATTTGAGAGAATGGGGCCTGCAATCCAGACGGAAGCGAATCGAGACACTTACAAAAATGAGATTTACCTACAAAACTCATACTTATGTACAGTGGCCAAGACACAGAAGAGCACATGGGAATCCAGACAACCCGAATCATAAGACAAAAATAGTTCCAGAATGTGCAAAATCCACACCGCAAAAACAGGAAACATCGCCAGTCCTCAAATGGACCCATTTACTGTAACAGTCAAGACGGGGGATGAGATCTGAGGCGAGGCCGTGTGGAAGCAGTGGACGCGGGCGTGGGGAGCTCTTGCAGCCACACGCCTCCCACCGTGGCCCTTGCCGTGGAGTGTCATTTGTTCGTGGGGAAGAGCATACTCTTTGGTAGGTCTTCCGTCTAACGGGGTGTGAGGAACTTAGAGAGCACTCAAGGCTCCTAGGTAGAGAGGGAGTGTGTGTGTTTCTTGGGGTTCTTCATTAAGCTTGGTGCTGCTCTGGGCACCCTTGACACAGGGTGACCCCTCCTTCCAAGCTCGGAGGCTGTGTTTCTGCCCTCTGCTAGGCACAGAGTACAAACTGGCGTAGATGGGACTGCCTCCTGGCCACCCAGCCCTGGAGGCAGGCGTATCCCTTCAGCTCCTTGAGCCTGCTTTCCTTCAGGGAGGGAAAAGACTCCAATCTAGCAGGACTAACCGTCCTCGGAGGGGAGAGAGTGGTGGAAGGACCGGTTTGGGGGTCGTGATCCTCGCTACAAAGGCAACGGGTTGGGCGAGAAGTCCAACCCAAAGCAAGCAGCTGCTGAGCGATCTGGGCAGCTGCTTTCGCCGCTTCTTGAAATAAACCTCCCTTGGGTGTCGTGAGCAAGGAGTGGGTTAACGCTGGGAATTTGGAAGGAAGAAGAAAGTGGGGCCAGCTGGCCAGGGCCCGGGTTCGCAAGAGGCATCATGGAGCTTAACAGGCCCACGTTCTGACGTGGCGCCTCGGGCCCAGGCCACAGCTGCGACGGGAAGAGAAGCAAATGCCTTTAGCAAAGCAGGACTCTGAGCAGCCAGGCTGCAGAGGAAAGCACAACAGAGAAAACGTGAGCCGTGTGCTGGCTTGACAGACAGAGGAGCACAGGTGGTTTCAACAGCACATGGATCTGGCCCCGGGCCTGGCTGGGGGGGAGCTTGTGCTTTGCGCCTGTGGAAGCCCAAGGTGTGGCAACAGGCACACGCTCCTATTGCGGCTTGCACACCCCCGCAGCCCCCCCCCCCCCAGTTTCAGATTGGCCAAAAGCAACCCAGAGTTGACTGGCTGCACGGAAATCCCATCCACCCCAAGTTCTGCACTGCCTCGACCCTGGGCGGCTTAGGGGCTTGCTGGCGAACAGGGATCGCTGCCTGCGGGGGCTCGGCAGCCCCAGAGAGGTGACCAGAACACCAGTGTGTCAAGCTCTGGAGACCAGCAAACATGGCCAGGGGGCAGCCTCTGGCTTCTAACCAAAAGCAATGCCCTCTTAAAATGAGCTCGAGGGGGTGGGGGGCCGTGAAAGGGCCCCCCAGGGGCCGAGGAATCCTGGAAGGGCAGCCCCCTCGCCAGCTTCTCTTGGCTGGCTCTGTGGCAGGTTTCCCTCAACCCGGAGCAGCTGGACTAGGCCAAGCTTGGCACCGCCGACCCTTTTATCTGTCACTGAGACTCTTCGGCAAGAGGAAGGGAATCAGATATGATCCAGCTGACCTTGCACAGATCTCAGTTAAGCCTGGGAGAGGATTCCAGCCCTCAAGGACGGAACGTGAGTGGAGCCGCTGGTGCCCGGAATCACACCATCACCGCGGGAGCGGCAAGGGCAGCTCAAGGGCGAGCCGGAGGGTGCTCTGAAGACGTGGCCACGGGCGGCTGCGGCCTGGAAGAAAGAGCACCACAGCTCTCCTCCTTCCACTCTAGGGAGCAGAATGATTGCCCAAGTGCCGTTTGATTCTCGGTCCTCGCAAGGCCATCCCCCCGTTTCCCCTTCCATCGAAACTACCTGACAACCAGCACTACGGCTTCCAGAGAGGATGGAACTGCCTCTGGGGCGCAAGAAACCCCTTCGTATCAAACCCCGAAAGACCTCTGAAAGTGATGTGATCATTCATAAATAGAAAATGCATCTAGGAATCAAGAGTGGCCTCCATGCTCCGTGTCTGGACAGAGCCACACCGCTTCGGGCCTTATTGCTGGTCAGGAAGTGGTCAGAAGCAGCCTGGATCATGGAAAGGACCTCAGAGCTGCTGCGGAAGTTTGCGAGGAGAGAAGGTGAGGCGGTTCCTACCTGGGGCGGCGCGGCACGCCAGCTTAAGCGCGGGTGGAGCTGCTTTTGAGCTTTCCCGCTTTCCCTCCGCGGAAGCCAAGAGTAGCAAGGGAGAGGGCCTCTGTGGGCGAGGGGCTGAGGGTCACGCAAAAACGCCCGTGGGCCAGGCTTCCTGCGAACAACCGCCCTTCTTCAGCTCCCGAAGCGGCACGGAACGACGGCAGCGGCCACACCATTCTGCATCGGGGTGAAGCCGGTCTCGTCTAAAAGACCCGCTCAAGACCCTGTGTCGATAGTCCACGTATTTCCTTTAACAGAGAAGCCATGGGGTGAAGAGCAGGTGCGAAGAAAGTGGAAAGCTGAGCAGGGCCTGTGACTGCTGGCACGGCGTCTAGAATTCCTGGCGGCTCTGTTACACATACCTGCTTGAACAAATGTGTTGATAGGGACACAAACCCCGGCTGTGGTGAGCAGGCTGCGGAGGGGGCTAAACAAGCCCACGAGAGCGGCCTTCTGTTTCCCACCGCAAGGCTAGCTCAAGAGCAGGCACGGGCGGGAGCTGCAGACACTCCTCTTGATATAAACAGGACGCGGCTGGGATGAAGCTTCCCTCAACAGAACTGTCCCACGACATTTTTAGGATAAGCTTCAGGGAAGGTGGCCTAAGGAATTTAATCCTGTTTCTAAAAACAGCAGACAGCCTTCTCTGCTTCTCGTTCTGCTGTGATATCTCACAGGCAAGTGGGGTCTTACCTGGAGTGGAGATGCACCTCAGTCAAACACCACCTGAAGTTAGCAAGTGAAGGGGGAAATGCTTGTTGCAATTTCCCGGTTAAAAAAAACCCCAAACTAACTATTGGAAGAAAACACTAATACAGGCGAATGAATGTGAACTCACAAGAGCCCCAGAATGAGTGGAACTGACAGAGAACATCGGCCCCTGCTTCACCGCAATTTCTTCCACTTCTCTTCCAAGAAAGGCAGTCTCACACAGATGTTAGTGCTCCTTCCACCAGCCTGGCAGGTATGACCCAGACAGAGTGAAACAGGGAGCAACTGCAGATGGGAGTACAGGCCCCGACTGCCAGGAGCAAGGCCAAGCTCAGGTCCAGTTTGGGAGCTAAAATGACCATCCACATGGGCTTTGCCACTTTGTGCTTTTGGAAAGGTCAAGGCTAAGAGAAAAAGAGAGAGCTCAGCTAAGCTCTCAGTTGGCTCAGCAAAAGCTAGAATGCAAAACAGAAACCATGTTGTTAAAGGCAGATTTTTGTGGACTGTTAAGTTCTCAAAAAAACATTCTTCAGGAAGACACAGGTGTGCCAGCTCAGCTCAAGGAAGCGGTGTGTGCCGGGTGCGATGGGAGACCGACAGAACCTAAGTCCTTGGGAATTCATTCCCAAGATGCAGCACACGCAGCGGAGACGGAGGCTGGACACCCACGACATGATGTGGCAGCAAAATAAGGAAAAGCGGCCAGCGGGCAGCTCCGAGGCCGGAGACGGAAACGTAGTCTCTCCTCTCGGCACCAGAGGCCCTGGTGTGACCAGTTCAACACAGCAACTGATGTGACACGGGTGAAGTGACCACAGGACGGCTCCGATTTGGCTGATGGTTTGGACAGGGGCGATGCCACACCGCAGCACAACGAGGAGGATGCGGGAGGGGCCACCGGGCGGCCACCCTCAGGCTGGCTTTGACCCAAAGAGTCCAACGGGGAAGTGTTTCACATGGGTTGGCCACTGCGCAGCTAACTGGAAAAATTTGATGTCACTCCACTCCACTCCGTCAATGGAAACTAGAAAGGACAGAAGTCTCCCGTGAATTTAGGAAGCTGGCCTAGGAAAAGCCCGGCACGTGCCTGCTCCGACCAGCAGAGGCTCTCCGGAAAGCCAGGCAGAACTCTCACCCATCAACCGGCTTCTCCGTGCCAGGTACCAAAGCTGGGCCTTCTAAATCCAGAATGAGGGTGCGACCGCTGAACCAGGCCAAGCAGAGCAGGTGTGATGGGCCGGATGCCAGCAGGGAACGCCACTCACACCTGGCTGAGGGTAAAGGGGCCGTGCCTCGAGAGGCAGCCAGTGCAAACCGTAACACGGGGCAGGTGGATTAAGGCTTCTGGAATCGCAGTTTCCACGCAGCTGCAGCCACCCCTTGCTAACAGTTTTGCTTGCCCGACCCTGCTCACCCTTTCCTTGCTCTTCTCTGCTACAAACCTGCGGGAAGTTTGGAGCTGCCAAGCCAGGCTCTTGATATATTGCAAAGAAAACCAACAACGCTCTAACGAAAAGCCTCCTTGGTTTTACCGAGGCCCTTCAAAACCCTGCCCAGCGGCCAATGGGAGAGGCAAGCACTACCTTTCAGCATCGTTTGCTGCTGTTTTGCAGAGCAGATTAATCGGCTGATCCCGTCAATCATCTGGCTCTTGGAATCCACTTCTCTCTCTTTGGGTTTCTTGCTCAGAAAGATGGTGGGAACTAGGAAGCCCAGAGGAGCCAATTAGCGAAACAGGAGATGCTAGCTAGGCAAAACAGCAGCCTCTTCCGCACGCGTTTCCCTGCCCCGTCCCCCCGCGAGCAGAGAGTCCCGCCCCGCAGAGCTCACCTTTCTTATTCTTCTCTTTGGTGACAACAGTCATGGACATGGTCCCAGACAGCTGGGCTTCCCCGCTGTTTGGAAGCCGTGATACCTGCACGGAGCGGAAGACACTCTTGAGCGTGTTTTTGGAGCTGGCGTCCTTTTTCTCGCCTTCCTTCTTCTTTTCTGTGGGCTGAGCTAACCAGTAATCCACCTGCAGCCCGATGACATCACCATAAGGGCTATTCGGTGACCTGTGATCCAGAGAGGGGAGAAGGAAGGAAGTCACGCTCGTTTTACAACGCAGCGGGGAGAAAACAGGCCCGCCCAAGTGCTGCTTCTCCCCAGGCCTATCAGCACTGAAACTTTCCAGGTCAGGAGTTTACGGAAGCTGGAGGAAAGGCAGTTTCAGCACAGAGGCGTCGGACTCTCTGGGCCACCATTCTCAGTGTTCTCCTGAGCATGCTAAGAAAACCATGGCCAACGTGTGAAAGAGGCACTCGCGGGTCCCATCCCTTGGGACCTGCTCCTTAAGCCTAGGTCTTCCCAAGCTGCCCAGCCCATCGAACATGGGCAAAGCCTATTCTTCTGTCCGCCTCTCCGAGCAAAGGCACCCAACCAGCCTCCAGACCCACACGGACTTACCCCATGCCAGCCAGTCCGCTGGTCATGGAGGGAGAGGATGGCGGAGTGGCAGTGATGTCCCTGGCGAGGCCGGAGGTGGACGGAGGAGAGGTGGAGGGAACCGTCAGGCTGATCACAGGAGAATCGTCTCCCTCGCCTGGAAAGGAAAGGAGCCACAAACCTTCGGCCATCAGGCAACCGCAGCAGCAGGTGGAGGTATTACAGGTAATCCCCAGGTTCCTCCTCCCTGGGCCAGTCAGGCATTGTTACAAAGCGTTTACACAAAGCTCGTGGGCTTTCCTGGGCACTAGGAGTGCTCTCCCCAAGGAGGTTCGCCTGGCGCCCTCCTTCCTTTTTTTCTGGCACCAAAGACCTTCCTTTTTAAAAAATATTTTAGTAACTAATGCCATAGACCTTTGTTTTAGAATTGTTCGCTTGTATTTTATTATTATTTTTAATGTGTTCTGGTTTTTATTGTGTTTTCACTCTATTTTATATTATGGTTGTGAAATAAATTTATAAATGTTTTAAACAAACAAACAAACAAACAAACAAGGGCCCAAACTAGCATTTCCCTAACATTGTGGCACCAGCTTTCCCTTTTCCAAGACACACGCACGTCGCGTTTGCGTTCAGGATGCCTCGCACACAAAACTGCCCCCGTGCCTCCCTCTGCCCAGCCTTTGGAGGCTCAGGAAAGTGGCTCCAAGATTCCCCTGCACGTGTCGGCTGACGCTCTGGCCACGTTCTCGTGTGTCCCTGGTTCCCCACCCCTGGTGATGTCCCTGCTCACGTACTGCAGAGAGGGCTGCGAGCAAGGGTGCACTGGGGGGGGGGGGCTCTTCCTCCATTATGGGGCCTGCTTCCTCCTTCCACCCTTTCCACAGCCTCACAGCCTTCCTCCCTGCAGCTGGAGAATCGTCAGTTGAAACTTGACAGGGGTGGGGGAGCCTCTGGCGCTGCCAGTGGCGCTGGAGTCCGACTCCACACAACAGAGCCAAGGGTTGGACACACCCAACTGGGAGGGCCACGGGCTCACTACCCGCCCTCGCCTTGCGGCCCTGGCATACTGTGAAGCCAATGCTTTCCCCTCTTGGCCAACTAGGGCAATTTTGCCCAGGAAACCCTAGCCTGGTTTTGTGCCCGGACAGGAAGCGGCGTTGATTTAAGAGCGCGTGTGGCGTAACCGGGACAGCCAGTCTTTGCTCTGAGGGGCCTCCCGGAGGTGTGCCGTACCTGTGGCTGCAGGAGAATCTTCGATCAGGCCCACTTTAACCACCTGCAGCAGGAGTGGGAGGAGACAGGGGAGGAGACAGAGGGATTCGGGATGAGGCCTTTCCAAAATAAAGCACGGCAGGTGGTGACGCTGCGGGTGGAAACGCAACGCCTCTAGCCTTCCCTAGGCAGAGCACCGCATGTGGGTGCCACGAAAGGCAAGCAGGGGACGGTGAACCCTTCTGGTACTGTATGGCATCCAGTATCTGCTGGTGGGGTGACTGAGTCTGCCTCTTGCTTGCAATCCCAATGACCCCAGTTCTGTATCTGCTCGTCCCCCTCCCCCGAACGGGTCATTCTGGGGCTGGCAGTGGGGCACATGGGTCAGCAAGCTCCTGGAAGATCTCGGCATGTTCAGGGCTCAAACCGCCCACGCTCAGAAGTCTGGCAAAATGTCTCCTCCGGGTTTGCCATGCCTGACACAGAAGGAGCGCAGCTGCCTGCCCTTGCTCAGCCCAAAGGGTTACATTCCTTTGTCTGCTGCCCTTCTGGCTCCAGGAGGAAGAATGCGCACTTCTGGTCCTGGCCTGGCTGCCTACGACCTGCTCTGGCCCTGACCGGAACTTGGCTGCCCGGACGTCCGCACTGTGGAAGCACCCTTTGTGCGGGGGCCTTTCCACTCTGCGTTTTAGCAAGAGGAGGGTCCAAAATGAACATCGCCTGGAAGGGTGTGGCGCTGCGACACACCGCTGTCAAGAGGGAGCGCGCGTCTGCCCACGTCACAAGGAGCTGCTCTGGGACGCGGGCGGAGATATATTTGGGCTTGTCATAACACTGACAGCAGCACTCCCCCGACGCCTGAAGATCCGGCACGTATAGAAAAATCCACCTGCCAACTTTTCCAAAGGAAAGCAACCCAAAATGTAAAGCTCTCAGGTTGCCCTCCCCGTTCTTTCAACGAGTGCATGCACCTCCTCCTCCTGTAAATAGTCCAAGGTCCCGGGTGTCTTCTGAGGGCCAGGACACCTGAGCTGTGGTTTGGGGGCTGAACACCTAACTCATGGGTCAGGGGTGGGCACAGACTATGGCGTGAAACCATGGCAGAAATGGATCCAATGCTGAGCAGTATTTTTCATTGCTCGGCCAACAAACCACACTTCTGGTGGCTTCCCAGCCCGTCGCTTGCCAAGATGACAAGCCAACGTTTTGTGAGCTGCCCGATTTAGGAAAGCATCCGGAATGTTTAAAAAAGACAGCAGCAAGTCAAATCCTGTAAGATGCTTCCCTCCCACACAGGATGCCTGCTTTCAGTTGCCTGTGGCTCCAGCAGTCATCAGATGGGATCCAGCCAGGCTTCCTGCCAAGGTCTTTGCCAAGGAAGATAAATGTAGCACTAGTTAAATTGCACGATGTGACCTGAAGGAATCTCAGCACATCTGGATTTTAGCCACAGCTTCTGCTCCGCATCAGCAGAGGAGGGGAGGCGGTAGGACTGCCTCGCAAGGGAGATGGGCTGGTGGCGCTCAATGCGCTCGCGTGTGTTTCGGCTTCCCTAAGCTAGCTGTGCCAGTACAAGGGCTTTGGGTCAACAGAACTAGGTGCCACTAGATGAGGAGGCGAAACGAGAGCTTCTTACCCCAATGAAAGGGATGAACTTCTGGTAAGAGTCTTCATCTTGGCTGTGGGCAAAGGAGACAGGAGTTAAGATGCGGTAGGCAAGGGAGAACGAGAGATGCAGGAGGACAAGGGCTTTCCCCCTTTCCCAGTGGCATTTCTGCAACTCCGCTGGAGTTTAGGTCGTTCAGATGCAGCGTTTCGCAGGAAGACACTTGGATGAGAAGAGCAGGAAAACTGCATACAGGAGCAGCAATGCCTGAAGGAGGCCTGCACTCAAGGTTTGGTAGCGAAACCGTGGGAGAGAAGAGTCAGGAGGGGCCAGGGGGCCATCGGGGCCAACCCTCAACGTGAGTGGCCCCTCTTAGGCTGCTGCCAACAAAACTGACGTAACAGTTCCGGTCCGCTCGTTGCACAACGGAAAGGGGAAACGGTCTTACCATTTCTGTTTGCAGGTCAGCATGGCCTCCGCCACGGGCAGCTGGTGGGTGATGTTTGCTCCGCCCACATACTGCAGGATCCGGCCAACCACATCCAAAGACTCTGGAAAAGGACAGAACCCAAATGGGAATACCGAGCTGGAGAAGGGCACAGAACGTTCCCGGCGCGTCAAGACCGGCAAATGAAAGGGGGGGGGGGGGGGGGTGCTTTCAGCGTTTGGCTCCGGGCCACAAGAAACATCAGGGTCTGCAGGGAAGCCAGAAAGGCCTCGAGCCGGGGAGGTGGGAGGGCCAGAGAGCAAAGGGCTGAACACAGATCTGGGAGAGAGGCGTGGGTGCCCATGCGGGCTGCACCTCCGCCGGCTCGCCATCAGTGCGGAAGCTTTACTGTTCTTCTCCTCGCAAACCCCACAAGACACGATCCTCCTTGCACAGGGGGAGGCTGTCTGCTGCTGTCCCTCTGGCGGAAGCTCAGGTGCCCAAGAACAGAAGGCAGGACAGGAGCTGTTTGAAAGGGCTGCTCTGGCCCCCACTCACCCAAGCCCGCTCTTACCGGTTGCGGGTGGCTCCGATTTGCTGAAGAGCTCTCTCCAGGTGGCGTCGAGGAACATCCCGCTGTATTTGCTGTCCACGGAGCCCATGTACTTTGCCACCGGATGAGAACCTGGTGGAGAAGTGACAGGAGGGCCCTTCTGTTGCCACGGTTCTCCTGCCACGTCCTGCCCATCCAGCGCCAAGCTCCACAGAGGGCTGCGTAGGCAACTTGCCCTTTGGTGCTGGGAAAGCGCCTCCTCCCAAGCCGCAACGACGCAGCTTTCTTTGCTACGACTCTCCTTCTAGCGAGTGGTTTTTGTCCTGGGCCAAAACCAGGTCGGGCCTCTCTTTCTAGGCCAGGAAAGTTGTCTTGAATGACACGGGATGCCCAGCAAGTGTGCATCAATTATTTTAAAATGTATAAAACAAGACGTCCAATAGCTGGCTGTTTATTGTGCTCTGGAGTGAGGCGTCATGCACTTTACTTATCTCTTAGTATAAGGTTCTTCTTAAAAATGTATTAATGGTTTTTCAATCAATGCTTTTCTTACTCTTGAAGCCTCAATAAAACTGACTTCTGAAAACATTCAAGTGCAAGATAATAGCTCCCTCTGGGCTACGGGGAGGTATAAAAGTGAAATAAATAAAATCAAAATCAGAGATGCCTACAAAATAACACCTTCCAGAGCTAGTAGGGGAAGAGTTAATTATAGGACCCTGAGAGTGCAACACACTTTTCAATAAGAGTTTGGGATTAGTTGATTAATCTCTCAATTGTGACCTGTAGAAGGATAAAAAAAGCTCTTCTCCAACACGTGCTACCGGATGGTAAACTGCCTCAAAGGAACAGTGTGCAAGAAGTCAGGGAGAGCGAGTCTCTTCTATCAAGGATTCTTTTTGGACAGGCGGCTCGTTCAGCGGGTTCGTTCTCTTTATGAGAGAAAGCCAGCCCTGTACCGTGCGGCTTCTTTGTCGCTGGAATGCAGCATTATTGGGTTTCATAGGCTGCACTCAACAGCCATCAAGAACGTGAGCAAGCCACTGAATGCCCCCCGCACCTCCGCTTACCTAGCGGGATGATGAGGAACCTCATGTAACTCAGCCAGTCAGAGGTCTTGCTTGCCAGCTGCTTCACAAAGAACCTCAGGATGGCGCTAAGGTAACTCTGGCCCCCCACAGACACCACCTTCACGGGCCGTGGCATGGTGGAATTGCAGTTACAGCTGGTGGAGGGGAAGGGAGAGAGAGGGGGGCGGTTAAAGGAGTGGCGTGCCGGGTTCGTGCCATCTACCTGGGCAGAGCAGGAGAACGAAAACCAGGAGCCACGGAATGAGTGATGTGGGAATCTTATCTCGGGCGCATGCACGAGGCAACAGACATATGGGCACGAGAGTGCACACTTCGCGTTTATCCCACCTGAGTGGAAAGGTACAGGCAATTTCCTTGTCCGGTGACACGGAATTCTTGCCTCAGAATTCAGAGCGAAACTAAGGACGACAGGATCACTGACCTTAACAGGGCTCAAAGAAATGCATGATTTAAAATACAATCAGGGAGAGCGTGAGGGGACCTTTATTTGCATACTCTTCTTCCTATCGGAACACGCCGAGGAATTTAGAGGGGTCTCCCAGCCTGCCGTTTCTGACCTAAAGGGCTAGTCCTCATAGGAAGGGTGAGCTTCCATCGATTCACAACACGTTTCCACACCGGCCAGGGCAATGTGCAAAGGGGAAATGTGAGCTCTCGTGAGCAGAACGACGATGCGTGCTGCCGTCCGAGCAGATGCTCCCTCAAGACATGGCAGGGTCACCCTGGAGTGATGCAAAGTCCACGTTCCCACAGTGTGTGAATGCTCCAGACTGCCCAGATCGGTTTCAGTTACTCCATACACGGAGCAGGGAAACACTGGAGACCCAGGAGACTTCCTAAGACAGCATCCCTCCTACAGGAGGAGTGAGCAGGCCTTCAAGAACCGGAGCAAACGTACAAACCCCACCACCACGACCAGAGGCCACTAGAGGGCAGCCAAGAGCCGGAGAAAGACACTGAAATCCCACCATGACGTCTGGGACTTTGCAGATTCCAGACACAACACGTGAAAGCCGGTAAGGCAACACCTCTCTCTGTTTTGGTGCATTTCGTCTTTCCGGCATCTGCTTTCCATAATCGTTGCTGCCCCATCGTTTGGCTCCTGTCCCACAGATGCAGGGATCCCTCCTGCCCTGAACTTCAGCTGCACATGGTCCTGGCCAGAGGGACTTACCAAAAACCCCTTGCTTTGCACTGCAGAACCTGAAGCTCCAAACAGGGCCAAAGAGCCGCATGCACCAAGATAAGCCACTCTGGCTTCACTCCTCCATAGCTCTCTGCCCTGAGAGATCTTTCCCTTTTTCCCACACGTCTGGAAGCTAGCGGTAAATATTACTCTGCACCGCTCCCATGACAGCCTTATTACCCCCTGCCATTTTTCAAGGGTTGTGTCCAGGCATTAAGCAGCCTACAGAATTAAGCGCTGACACCAATTAAATTGACAAAGCGGAGCAGCGTCATGTGAATCCTCTCCAGGGGGGCTTGCAGTGTGCCCACTGACGGAGGTGTCTCGCAGTGAGAAAGGAGACAGCAAACAAAGGAGCTGAAAAGCCGCTTGAAACTACACGGGGCTTGACTTCCCATCGTCGCCGTGAGAGGAAGATGTGGCCAACGTGAGAGCGGAGCTGTCTTTGGAGGCGGCCCACCCAATCTAGGCTGCGAGAGCGAGCCCACGTTTCCAGCAGCCTCCGGATCGCGAGGGCATGAAAATGGCAAGGAAGCCCAAAGGAGCCAGCTCAATCTTGTCCCCCGAACGTTCGTTCTGGCTGGGGGGAGACTGAGGGCTTGTTTGCACGTTACTGAACCAACGAAGCGGCTGTTTCCTTGGTGATTCCACCCGATGGGACATCAGAATGAGGAGAGCATGCCCGCTTTCAAAATGTGCCTTGACGCTTCCTTGTTCCTGCTTGTGCGCGAAGGAGCTTCGTTTTAGGCCCCTCTGGGTGTACCGGCTCCTGAAGCTGGAGCAGGTGGAAACTGCAAAGAGGGCCTTCGCGCCTACGGAGCCTGGCACAGAGGGGCTTGCTTTTAGCATGGGCGCAGGGTGCAAACAGATGAAATAAAACAAAGCATTTTTAGGAGGCCGAAGGGAATCGCTAGCCAGGCTTGATCAGGCTCCAGCAATGGCCTCCTTTTTCATGTAACCACGGCAACATGCAGCGAAGCTCCCAAAGGTGTGCAGCTGCCCCCTCGGCCCTCTGTGGTACACCTGCGTCATCACATAGGCAACGCACGGCCGGCGGCGCTCCCAGGCAGGGTGGCCCTCTGAGTGAAGGGCAGAACCGCCCTTCCAGGGAGGCGTTAAGCACCTTCGCAATATTACAGATCCCGGAAAAATGCCGGGCTTTTAAATGAGAGAGAAGGGATGCAAGGAGCACATGCAGACAGACTCTCCCCTGTAAATAATTCAGGCACAGATCATGGAGGACATGGCCCCAAATGGCGATGGGAAGTCGGCATGCCTACCCTGGACCCCCACCCGAAGGCAGGAGCTTCGCTGTGGGGCTGCTTTCATCCTACCCCTGGGAGAGAAGCGGCCCTTGGTCACAACCCCTCTGCTCCAGTCGGCCTCAAGGAAAAGGCTCTCCTACACTTCCGTGAGTGCTGTGACCCCGTGAAGGGGCACTGGGCTGAAGCCACTCCAAGCAGTACCTAAGAATTCAATTATTCAAGGGCGGAAAAACCTGCCCTGGACAGAAAGCCCCAGCAAGCTGGGTTGGCGCACGACTGTTCCAGGGTAGGCCTCACTCTTTTCAAGACAGCGGTCGCTTGGAACCTAGATCTCCTCCATGCCCTCTCTTCAGGGGGTAATGCAAAGGTGCCGCTGAACTAGCTTTGTGGACTCACTATCGCTGAATCCTCGTGAGGATGGCGGAGAGGACGGCTTGCACTTCTATGGTGGAGCACGTGCAAACGACGGGCATCTTCTGGTCCTGAAGGAGATCGGCGACATACTGGAAAGAGATCAAGGAAGCAGGCAAAGGAGGAAGGGATTTGGTGTTCTGTTCCGTTCTGTTTATACAGCTGCCATACAAACCCCCTCCTTCCCTGACGATCCGTCACTGGCTGCATGACCTCCGACAAAAGCCTGGTAACTGAGCTCCCTTAAGCACCTTGGATACAAGGGCAACGCGCCACAGTTCCAACCTGGAAATCCGAGACATATTCCACACTGGCCCCAGTGGGCGAGGGGGAAAGAGTCCGAGGTGCAGCAGGAGATGAGCAGGGAATGCTGGCTGGCGGCCTCTTTGTTTTGAAGATACTCCCTCTCCCTTTTTGAGGACGTGGTTCATTAGTCTTTCATGAAATAGGTTCCAGTTGGACAAACACAGAGTTCCCAACCTTCGGATAATCAACCTGGCCGTGGTCTCTCTCTGCGCACTCAAGTCTTCCCTCCCTTATTTTTCCTCGTTACCAGAAACATTTAATTATTGCATAGCAACCAGTGCAGAAGCTGAGCAATCACAGCTAGCAGCTGGAACATGCTAGATTTTATTTTACAGAAGACTCCGGCTTCCAACTGCAGGGCTCAGGGATATGTTCACCTTAAAAACCGTGTCTGTAGATGGTGATATAAGAGGGGTTTGGGAAAATTTTAGTGGCCAGGCTGGGGGGGGGGGGTCTCTCTCTCTCTCTCCTCCCCCAGATCTCCCTTGGAAATGTCACACCACTGCTCCCCGCCGGGGCCTCCTTTTCCACCCAACCGAGCCCTAGTGACACAGATGAAGTCTAGCTCTCCTGCTTGCCGATACTAAATTGATTTGATCTAATAAATTAAGCATCACTGATAGAACGTTTTTAATGTGGCCCATTCTACCTGCCAAGGTGGAACTTAAGTGTCTGGCTTCTGGGGAAAAAAAAACCTTTTATTGGCTGGCAAAAATAAGATGTTGTGAACCATGATTTGGTATTATTACATTTTACAGGGGAAACTCCCAGTGGAAGGCCCATTTTATTTGAGCTGCTCTGAAGCAGCACATGTAGAGATGATGCGCGGTTAACAACAAAAACGGTTACTCTTAAGCCCCTAATGTTTGGGGAGTGGCTGAGGTCAGTCCAAACTCTCACCAGAGCACATGTTCCTTCCCCCACATTGAACCCCTTGCCAGATTTTGCTGGCTGGGAGGCGTCAAGAAGGGGGGGGGGCACCCACAGCTAACTTGCTCACCTGCCCCTGCCAGTCAATCGTGTTCACGAGGATGACGTTTTCCGGAAGTGCTGCGTCTGACACCAGGATCTGATTCAGTTGGTCATACACGATCTTGCGAGGAATCTGCAGGAGCAGGTTGCATCATCATCATCATCATCATCATCATCATCATTTTGGAAAGACAAGTTTGTGAGAGCATCGGAAGAGCAGTGTTGCGTCCCGCGGTTTTACTGATGAGACCAGAGACCAGTTGGAATTTTCGAGAGGAGTTTTATTACCTGCACAGGGACCAACACTCGTGAGAGTGCGGTCCCGACTAGAAGGAAAGCAGGGTTTTTATACTCTTTTACAACGGACGGCTATGCAGGTGCTTGAATAACAGCGAACAATAGGGGAAACCCACTGAGCCCCATTTGCACATTTTTCATGCTAAAGCAAGCGAGGGTACAAGGGCGTGACGTCTGTGGTTATGCTGGAGCGTAGCCTGCTTTGGGGTCAGCCTTGCGTAGCGGGCACATTCGTTGGGGTTCTTGTTCTCGCGCAAACAGGACACCCTGATCATGCCTTTTACCCGTGACGAGCCATGCCCTGGCTGCATGTTCGATTAAGAGGGGGTTACAACAAGCAGTACCAGGTCATCCCAAGGCCTATGCAGTCCAGCTTTCTCTTCACACACTGGCCAACCAAAAAACAACCGTTTTCTCGGGTTTCTTCTGGGGCTCTTTCTGGATCTTTTAACCGTCCTAGATAATTTGAGGTCATCGGCAAACTTGGCTACCACACTCCTCATAAACGAGCTGGATTCTTTTCATGCCGAAAAGTAGCAGCCCCAAAAAAAGATCCCCACAGTGTAACTTCGCTCCACTGGGGGAACTGACCGTTTATTCCTACTCTCTGCTTTCTGTTCTTTCGCCATTTGGCTGATCCATGGCAGGTCTTCTCTTGTTCTATGACTGCTAAAAACCTCAGGACTTTGCTGAAGGACTTTTATCAAAGGCCTTTCAGATGTAAATCTTGTCTACTAAATCATGAATTCAATGCTGAATTCAAAGGGAGGGCAAGATAATCACCTTTGAAAGAACATTTACTAGCGCCTCCTGTTCTTAGCACCTCTTAATCTTACAATTCAGAATGGGAAAGAACATCTCCTGAGCCCAAGTTCTTACACATTCCTTTTGGTAGGACACTGCTGTCCAGGAAATGCACAATTCCTCACTTTTGTGATTATTGAGCAGGTGAAGAGAAAAAGGCTTCTTCCCTTTTTGGGTGGGAGGGGAGGGGAGGGGAGGGGAGGGGAGGGGAGAGGCTGGGCACAAGTGGTCAATAGAGGGAGAAGATTCAGAAAGCCAAAGGAGGCCCTGAGACAAGCTCCCAGGGTAGGTATGGGGGCCTGAGTCTGCCATGGCAAATGCTCCCTGCCTCTTTGAGCCCCCTCACATCCATCCCCTTTCCCGTCCATTTCTTCTAAAGTGGCTTAGGTTCCTCAGAGGCTTACATTTGGATGCAAAATTTAAGTAAACATAACTAAACATAAACGTATGGAAACGTTTGCATGTAAACATACTAAATTTATTCAGAGGACAATCCTTGAGCCCAAATGTATTTATTCAGCACCAGAGACACCACAGGAAACAAGCTATACTGTTGTGAGCAAATCTGGAACGATTTCCTTCCCCAGCCATCGGCTTCTGTCAGCCTGAGATTCACGAGCTGCCATCTCTGTCCCTGGCCCCCAAAACCCGAAAGAAAAAACTCAGACTAGAGTCCTGCAAACTCCAGATGCAGCTTACCTGCGTGCTGTGTCCCAGATCTGGGGATCTTTCACTGTCTGAACTGTTGGTCCTTTCGCTCAGGGGCTTGGAAAGCTGCCGCTCTTTGAGTGGGGTGCTACGCTTCTGCCGGGGCGTGTGGGTAGCGCTGTCCATTTTGCTGTTACAGGCAGAGGAAATAAGAGTCATCAATCCCTCCAGACTTCCTAATGGATTGAACAAGGAAGGGATAATGCAAGCTATGCTTTAGACTCAGAGCTTCTCCCCCTAGACACAAAAGCACAACCACCTTTTATCCAAAGGATCCGGGAAGGGCCCCCACATCCAAAGCCCTCCTTACGTTTTATGCTTGCCAAGAAGAGCGCTGCTTTGGCCTGCCAAGGTTCCTTTCGACCTCCACTGCATTGGGACAATAAATCATCCACAATAGTGTGTATACTGTGTGCGTGCAGGTTTTGCTGCACAAGTGAGGCATCTGATAACCGGCATCCTGACAACTTAAGTGTTCATTAAATATCTATCTATCTAGGAGACTCCTATGCTGCCCCATTCGCCGAAGCCTCGGGGCGGCTCACACACACCCTTCGGAAGCCATCACGCACGAATATTTCAAGGCCTGAGAGAACTCGGCAGGGCTTCCCATCATCCACCGGCGGGGCTTTAAAGCTCTGCTCTCTAAGCACCCACCCCCTTGCCCATATGAGCTCTACCGCCCACTTTCCACACTTCCTGCCCCTATAAAACCAAAGGCTAGCTCAAAGTCCTGCTAAGCCAGGCTTTTGCCCAGGTGTTTAATTTGCACAGGCATTTCAAGGGCGGCCTCTGGGTTGCTTGGCACAACAGCTGCGCTGCCGGCGAACAGAAGAGGAGGAGGAAGGCACACCGCCTGGAGTGTCCGTGGCTGCAATCGTCGCGATACGCAAGACTGCAGCTCTCTGGGGCATCTGCAGTGCCGGCAGGTAGAAGGAACAGCTGTCCCGGTGAACCAAGTCGATTCGGTCTTGAGCGGAACGCTGCAGGGAAACCTCCTGCAGCCAGAGCCACTGCCCAGACGTGAGCAAGCCCGAGGCACATCCCATTTTCCGAAGCTCTCTGAGCCGTTAAACAAAAGGCAGGAGCCCGAGGACAAAACCGCGAGGCTCACTCCGCAGAACTGCTGCCCCCAGTAAAGAAGTGGGTCATCGAGCTGCCGCTGCGGCACGGAGGAGGGAAATAAGCGAGGAAGCGGAGAAGGGAGCTGAGCAAACAGACATATGGTGCTGCTGAGCGTGTTGCCTGCTCAGCACCTACTTGGCAAAGGGAGAGGCAGCGGGGCCCGAGCAAGCAGCCCTTTGCATCCGAGGGGCAGCCTGCCGTGCACGGGGGGGAAAGGCGGGCAAAGCACATTTCAGGCTGCGGGGAAACAGTGGCGAGGAGAGCATCCGCAACAGCAGAGTGCGTTTCGAAGGCTGCTCATCGCCCAGCCACAAGAAAGCCTCCGGCTGCTTAATTCTGCGGGGCAGCGGATGGGCAAGGCCTGCACAGAGGCGGCTTCCTCACGCCTGGATGCCCTGCCCAATCACCTCCTGGCGCCGCTGCGTTTCTCAGCGGGGCAGAAAGCGGCCAGCCTTGGCGCCTCGTCTCCTGCTGCAGCTGCAACCATTTACTCTTCTGTGCCTGAAGATTCTCTCTCCTCATTGTTTCTTTTGCCCTTGCTGCCTTTCACGCTTCCAGCAGCTCGCACAGATCACAAGTGGGCACAAGGGAAGGCCGACTGGAAGGTCTCGCCCTGATTTCCAGTCGGCCTGCACGTGTTTCTAATGCCCGGGCATCCAGCAACGGCATCTCTGATGCTTCCCCGGCCCTGACGAGGGCAATGTAAAGCAGGAGTACAGAGCCCACGGTCTGCAGGCGGCCCCCTGACAAGGGCTGCGTGGGCCCCCGCGGCCCTGCCATCGAATTCCTCCACTCCAGAGGCATCTCTGCTTCCGGACTGCTAATACTGGTACTGCAACAGCGGCCCAAATGCTGCTGAGGTCCCTGATGGGGGAGGGGCTGGAGAGCCCCCCCCACCCACCCCAGTGATCCTGCCCGTCTCGTGTGAGTGTCCGGGTGGCTTCCGGAGCATCTGCTGACCTTGAATGTGGCCCCCAAGGTCAAAAACGCTGCGTGCCCTGTTCTGCAAGAACAGAGAGCGGGCACGAGGTAGAAACGCTGGTGTGAGCGGACTCGGGCGTTTGGTTCTGATGCGTGCTGCAAACCCCTGGGCTGAGCATGCCTTCAGAAGCGCTTTGTCCTCACTGGAGATGCTACTCTGCATGCCCGGCTCTGGCAGGCGAAATCTCAAAGTTCTGGCAAAGAGGACGAAGCAGATCCGGGAGGCCCAAGGTCTGTCCAGCCTCTCTCCTCCCTCCCTTCAAGCCCATCTCAAAATGCACCTTTTCTGGTAGGTTTTACCACTTTCCCCATGTCCTCGGGTCCTAGTGAAGCCCAAAGTACACGTTTCTAAAACAACAGAGAGCCAGTGTGGCATCGTGGTGAAGAGCATGGGACTGGGACGCAGGCGATCCGGGTTCGAGACCCCGCTCGGCCATGGGGCCAACCGGGTGCCTTTGGGCCAGTCACAGCCTCTCAGCCCAGCCTACCTCACAGGGTGGTTGTTGTGGGGATAAGATGGAGGAGGAGAATGATGTCAGCTGCCTTGAGCCCTTTGTGGGAAAAAGGCAGGATAGAAATCGCAATATGTGTCTGTATGTATTGCATCCGGGGCCTATCCTTTATCCTTGGCTGCTCCAACGCAAGTTTTCCGAGCTAAGGGCCTCCTGCATGCACACTGCTCAGGGGCTCTCGGAAGCAATCTAGGCATGTTCACTGTCAGCAGTTACTCCAGCAGAATCTGCTCTTTTTGGGCGGGACACCAGTTTCCTAAAATATTCTATGTCTGCCCAAAAGACAAGACTGAGGCGCTGCCTTTGAAGTTGCTCCTCCGTGAAGGGCCTTTTGGAATCTCAGCAGGGTCCCTTGGAGAGCATGCAAGCCACCCACGACCCAGCCCTGCCGAGGGAAATAGTAAGCTGCAACCTAATTGAACCTTTGAGTGTTGCAGTGCTCGATATTTAGGCTATCAACTCCTTTGCAACATTTCCAGAAGAAAGGACGAAGAGTGCCAGTGCGGTGTAGAGTGTGGGACTGGGACTCAGGAGATCCGGGTCCTAGTCCCCACTCCATCATGAGCTCACAGGATGGCTTGGCCCAGTCAGACACTCAGCCCGACCAACCTCACAGGGCTGTGGTTGTGAGGGTAAGATTGAGAGGCAAATTGTGTAATCCACCCTGAGTTCCTTGGAAAGAAAGAAAAAAGAAGGGATATAAATCTAATAAATAAAATAAAGGAAAGCGAGTGACCCAAAGCAAAAAACGCGTATTACCTTGGCGATGCCATGCTCTGGAGTTCTCCCCTGCTGCTCTTCATAGGGGTCTTGACCTTTTCTGGAATGACTAAGGTGGTGGTGGACTCTCCAAATGCATCCTGCTCATTCGCCTCCTGGACAAAGAGGGGAGAGAAGCATTCAAATTTACCGGCCGCGATAAAAGCAGAGGAGGACGTTTCCTTCCAGCAATAAAGAGAAATGTGTTCACCAATGTGTCAGCTTCATTGATGCTGTCATCTGCATTCTTACTCCGGATCGGCTTCATTTTGTCCCCGATGGATGCTTCCATCTGAAGACAGCAGGGATGGAGAGAGGGAGAGGGAGAGAGAGAAGGATGTGAAGCAAACTAAGATTTGGATGGGCCACGTTTATGGTCTCTGGATGAGACACTGTTTAGGTACATCACAAATCAGGGAAATTCTGGTGAGCACGGGAGCTTTGCACAGGGCAACACCTGAGCGACGTAGCCTTCCGCTCCCTGGAAAACCCAGCGTTCATACCCACATTTCTAAACCTCAGGGCTGGATTTTGTGAAGGAGCTAAAGGGTGTGCCCTGAAGGGTCCCTCAGGGATGAGGGTAACTTTTCCCACTTTTTTTTTTTACTCAGTAAGGGCACAATCTTGTGTCAGTTTAGATAGAAAAAAGGCCTACAATTCCCAGTATACTATAACCCCAAAAGGTCAAGGTTTCCTGGATTAAGGTTTTGCCCCAAAAGGTTGGATTAATTCTGACCCAGCCCAGGAAACAAGCGATGTTCTCTTTCTTCTTACTTACCGGGCTGGTGGCGTCTTTGCCAAGGCTTCCCTTGCTGTTAAGGCTTCCGATTTCAGTCTGAGAGCTTGACTGCGACATTCCCTCAAAGAAAGGCCTGGAATAAAGAGAGCAGTAAGATCAAAAAAGAGGCAACAGCACGATGCATCCTTGCAAGGACACCAGTGGGAGCAAGGAGGAGCAAGAATCAAAGCAACCACTCTCTCCTTACAAGACCTTCACGAGCAGGTGGCCAGGCCAGCAGTTCCCTGGGGAATCTGACTTCAGGCAGTGGGACGCTGCAACCCCATCTACACCCTCCAGTCTGTTGACACCGGCTAAAGCTGGAAGAAAATCCTCTTCTGACTGGTTCAAAGTTATTCTTCCCTGGGCGGCAGACAGACCCTTTATCAAAAGGAGAGCATCGAAGAGATGCCAAGCAGGGGAGTGGATATCGCCGGGACCCTGGTACGGGCACGGGGAACTGCAGGGCCGTGCCTCATTTCCACGGGCACCTTGCCTGAGAGCCATACTGGCCTCGGCCGGTTCTGTTCACACAGTGGCCAGCCAACAGCCTGCAGGAATGGCCAAGTGCAATAGCACCTCCGGGCACATTCCCCAGCAAGTGGTGATCCATGAGGACTAGCGGCCATGCATCGCCTTCTCTTTTGTGAATGTGTCCAATCTCCTTTTGGAGTCATTCAAGACGGCGCCCCTCACTTCAAGCTATGGAAGTGAATCCCACCGTTTAACTCTGTGCTGCGTGAAGAAGCTATTTTTAATTTATTTTATATTGTTAATTTTAATTTTATATTGTTATTTTTGTATTTTATTGTATTTTATTGTGTTGTAAGCCGCCCCGAGGCTTCGGCAAGGGGCGGCATAGAAATGTCCTAATAAATAAATAAAAATTTAAAAAAAGCCCTTCCTTTTTCTGTTCTCTCGCCCCTTTCAACTTCTTGGGATGATCTGTTTGGGTGCAACGTCTTCCTTCTCCACGCCGTGCGCTATTCTGTACACCTCTATCATGTCTTCCCCCAGTCTGGCCTTTCCCTCAGGTAAACAGTCCCAACCATCATCATCAACTTTCCTCACAGGCTTGTTGATTTAACCCCTGGATCGTTGTAGTTGCCCTTCCTTGACTTTTCCCCCAGCCTTTCAGAATCCTCTTTTAGGTGCGGTGACCAGAATTGTACACAGTACTGGAAGTGCGTGCATCGTAGATTTGTATAAAAGGAAGTATGATCATGGCAGTTCTATTTTAAATTCTCTTCCAATTGTGCCTAACATGGAACCTGCCTTTCCCACAGCAGCCTTTCCCTGTGCCGACATTTTCCATCAAGCTGTCCACCCTCCTTTTTGATCCAGCCCTGAAGACACATCAGTCAGGAACCAGGATTTGTATAGGTCAGGAAGGAGCTTCCTGAGGAAGAATCCTGGAAACCAGAGGCACTCTTGCTTCACAAGCGTGACCCAAGGTGCCCGGCTGTGTCCCAAGCTAGATCCTCGTTAGCGGAGCAGCGCGCTTACGCCGGATAACTGACGAGGACGTTGCTATTGCTGCTGCTATTCCTGATGGGCAGGTGTGAGGAGAGAGATTCCTCCACCCCACTGCATCTATTCCCCAAGGTTTCTTTCCTTGCCCGGGGGGAGAAAGGAACTCTGTGTGCTGGACGAGGATCTGCTAACTCTTTCTGCTAAGTGTTCAAGCCGTTCCAGGCCAAACCAGGATGGGTCCAGGATTCCTAGACAGCTGCCCGCAATGGTACGATGTCCGTTGATGCCTCTGCTCTGGGTCCCCTTTCCATCTGAAGCACGGTGGGCACAGGGGAGGGCCGGACAGGGCAACCTGAACAGAGGCTTGGGACAATCGCCCCACTCCTTTCCAGTTCACCGTTTGTTGTTCCAGGGGACTTCTGAGGTTCTTTTATTTATTTATTAAAAGCTTCCATATGCTTTATACTCCTTTTAGTACGAAGGAATCCTTTCCTTGGCCTCTATCTTTCCACTGATTTGCACTGTCTGTTTCCTGCTCTTTAGCGGATTCATGTGTGTGTGACTGAGCGAGTGAGTGTGGAATGTGTTATGCCTCAGTTGTTTATTATTTTATGCTTAATGTTGTTAATTGCCTTTAAATGTAGAACCCCGAACGGCACTGGCTAAAGGGGCGGGATATATGTGTTCACAGGTTTGTGCAGCCAGTGGGCTGAACCTTTCGTATGCTTTTCAACGTTTGTTTGGTTCACCAGCTCGTAATTTACATTTTGGCAAAGTAGCTGCCCAGATGCAAAAGGGCTCCCCCCGCGACGGATGAAGCACCGACCAGATATTTCTCCCGCCAAAGCAGCATGGCTGGCTACCAGGCCACCGTTCTGCTGGCTTTTCAAGCACTCACTTTCCCAGACTGAGCTTCAAAAGGCAGGGCACGAAGAGGCAGAGAGAAAGATTCAGCTATTTGGGTAAGATAGGCAGGAACCGTGGCTCAAAGACAAAGAATCACAGGCTGACAGTGAATGGAGTCGCTTTTGCCGGGGCTGTAACACGATCCAGTCACGAAGATTAAGCTCACATTTAAAAACTGAGCGCTAAAATTATTCTGAAAGGAGAGAGGGAAGGAGAGAACTATAAAGCTCAAAATCACAGAGGTGGCAGTGCTTTCTTCGTGTTTCCTAGCCTCTGCAACCCCAGGAAGAGAAAAACCCTCTGCAGAACAGATTGGCCGTTGAGGGAGCTGAGTCAGTTGATAGCTCCAGTGGAAGAATGCCGTTGGAAGAGGATATGCTTCCCTGGAAGAAAGCCCAGAGAGAGAAGTGCCCCCATTATGCACAAACTTTTCTTTTTTCTACTGCATACTTGGTGCAAATGTCATGCGGCTCTCCAAACGTCACAGGGCCACTTAAATCGTGCCAGAAACGGGAGAGAACAGAGGGGCTTGTCTAAAGCGTGGGGCTTTGCGTTTCAAAACTTCTCATGCTCAGAGTGGCAGAGGAGCATTTGAACAACTGAGGCGATTATCCCTGAAAGGTTCCAGAGCCAAAGTAAGGTTGGAAGGCACCTCCCTTATCTCTTATAGGAACAGCACTGCAGACCGACCCCTGGGGAAGCTCGGAATTAATAGCAACATGTTGCACAAACAGAGGACACGAAAGCTCTGACATCCGCAAGCCTCCCCAAAGTTCTGGGCTAGAGGCTGGCAGGCGAAAGGCCGAAATAGCGCTGCTGTGGACAGTGGGATAACATCCTCCGGCAAGGATGCCGAAAGGGTCAAAAGCCCCGCACGCTTTACCGGCAGCACCAACCCTGTGGTTTTCTCCTCCCAGCGCATCTTCCTGGCTCTCTCGGTCAACGATGAGAGCTTCTCGGGTTGAGAGCAAGAGTGCTTCAATGCGCCCAGAATGCGAAGCCTTCCCGGCAAAGCAGAAGAGTTAAGAAGCTTTGCTGCGGGGCGTCACGGCAGCCTATGTTTAAATGCCCCTGCCCCCCGCCCCGTCGCACTTACTTGAGCTTTGGCTTTGGTGTGCTGAGTATGCTCTCCGTGTCCTCCATCTCGGGACCGCTGTCGCTGGGATTGTACATCTCCAGGCTGTCGTACAGCTCGTCCAAGTCTTCCTCCACCTCCCGAATCTGCTCCCTGGACACATGCTCCAGTCCGAAGCCGACCTGTTCCGGAAAGGCTTGCTGAGTCCCCAGGCTCTGAGGTGGGGCCTGAATCATTTGCTCCTTAGACGGAGCAACGTTTCATTCCACGGCAGTGAACTGTGTGGTGTTTTTACCAAGCCAGTTCTTGCTATTAAGCCTGCCAAACAGATTCACCGAGAAACAACTAGCAGATTGCGTCCTTCTTTAGGCCGCAGACAGAAAATTACAGGAAGTTCCAGGAATCGGTCATTGGAAATAGAGGTGCAACAGTGACATTTAATCACTAACACTGGAGACAAAACAGGAGGCCACTGCTGTCCTCCTCCAACCGCGGCCACACATCATGCCCTCAATAAATGGCAGAGAAACAAGAAGGCCCAGTTGCCGGACGGGGTGTGTGTGTGTGTGATGCAGGCCGGGGTGCTTTCAGATTGCTCCAAACCACCCTACCACACGCACCAATAATCCTATCCATGTAGGCTTACTTATTTTATTTATTTAATTTTTATACCACCCGATAGCCAAGGCTCTCTCCATTTAGGGCCCTAGGAGGCTTCCTCCCTTCCAAGACCTCAGTACAGTCTGCAATGACTGCCTGCAGCACTCCAATATTTTAGAGCAGGTGTCTTTTCCAGTCCTGCCTGGAATCGCCAGAGATAAACACGGGCCCTTCTGCATGCAACGCAAACCCCTCCCCACTGAGATTCCATCCACCCCATCAGAACACCCCTCCTCTGTTTCAGATGGGTTTTGTCATCATGCAGCAGCCAACGATTACCGAGAATTTTGTGAATACCCGGCAACTGGACCAGGTCTAGAAACACTGCCATACATACCTCGTCTGATACCTTGAACCTCTTCAGCAAAGCCACAAACTTCTGCTTAATATTTGGCTGCTGTGAAAAAGAGGTACCATTAACTCGTTAGAGAAAGCATAATCAGAGCGACTAGATGCTGTACATGACTAATGCTAATGCTGGAAGAGGCAACCACAAAGAAAAGGCTATTTTAAACTTCATAGGAAATCTGCAAAACATTTTTTAAAACTCCACATAACTTAGCATTCCAACCATAGCATGTCAGACCCAGTGGGAATGCAACAAGTCCGTGGAGCCAGCAGGAGATGAGGCAAGCTGCCCTGCAGGATCCAAACACGCAGCTCTGCAGAAGCTCTGCATTAATGCAAAACCCTTTCTTCCTCACCGCTCCAGAGCAACCCCACTTAGCTCGCGAACCTCGCAAGAGGGCAGCTCTCAGAGCGTGCATATTTTATGAAGGCAGCTGAAAAAGTTGGTGCTCAAAGAGTCATCTTCACAGCCAAGCCTTAAGGAGTAATGAATATGAATTTGCTGGGGAGGAACAGGAAGGGAAAGCCTCGTTAGTGCTTTGTTTATTAAAAAGCAGTGCCAGGGAGAAAGACTCTGTAGAAGTTCTGCCCCTTGCTCCAGAGGTGTAGGAGCTTGGGAGGCGAACCAACGGATGTCCACATATGCTCAGCATCTCTGCTCCAGGTTTTGTCCCTCCGTGCCAGGCTACTGCAGCAAAAGCAGCTTCCAAAGCAGACAACTGCACCCACCCCAGCTAAAGTCCCGGCATCACTTCTCTGCCTTAACATGGGTACAAAACGAGATGCAGGATCTGGCTGTGCAAACCAATTCTTTAATTACTGAGCTGTGAAGCAGAAGGAGGAAAGGCCAGGAGTCAGGCCTTTGGCAAATGCTTTAAAGAACGCTTCAAGTGTTCTAGGACTGAGCCTCAGCTTTGCAAAAATAACTGGTAACTGGATGTCCTCAAGCTAAATCCAGCTACAATAAATGCCAGTGAAGAACAATATGGAGAAACTGATAGCTGCAGCAATCAGAGGTGCAGGAGGGGGGGAGATGCCCTCCGTCCTCTCCTCAAAATTATAATCCTGTAAGAAAAAAAGAGTGGATGACTAGGATTTTCTATGGTCCAGAGCAGCTCCGCAGTCTACCCTCAGCTTCGTACAGATTTTGGTGCAGAGTATAAAAAGTCAGCATCAAAGGCCAGCTAGCAATTCTAGAACCCCAGTCCTCTTCCAGCTTCACTGGCTCCCCATCCAAGTCCGGGCCCATTTCAAGGTGCTGGTCATCACCTACAAAGCCCACTTCCATATTTGCCCTCCCGCCCCTTGAGATCGGTGGCAGAGGCTCTTCTCCGGGAACCCTCCGTGAAAGATATTAGGAGGGTGAGTACCTGGAGGAGGGCTTTCTCTGCGGTGGCGCCCCACTTATGGAATGGGCTCCCCAGAGAGGTCTGCCTGGCACCGTCATTATTTGTTTTTTGGCGCCAGGCCAAGACCTTTTTATTTAAACGTTATTTTAATAACTGTTATTATTTATTGTTTTTAAAATATTTAACCAGGATGTTTCCAGATGTTATATGTATTTTTGTATGAGTATTTATTTATATGTTGGAAGCCATTCCGAGGCTTTTGTGAATGGGATGGCATACAAAAATTCCAAACAAACAAATAAATTAGAACGATCCTGGAAAACCGGTCAGATAAGGCTAAGCAGCAGCTGGGAAGGTGAGCAAACCGACTCGGGATCTTAGGTACATCTAGCTGCTCACAAAAGAAACCTGTTTTGATGTTGGGATACTTCATGGCCACATGGACTCTTTCAATGAGCAGAAGCAACAGGTAGGTTTGCAGCAGAAGAGGGGAAAGAGAGAAACAGGATGAATCTCTCATCCTGACAAGCTCACAGGCAACATGACTCACCCGAGTAATTGCAGAAGTTGACGTCATTTTCCTCCGTGTCTTTTTCACCTTCCGAAGGTCCTCCTCTTCATAAAACAAGTCCTAGGGGGACACCGTGGGACAGGCCCCTTCAGAATGCAAGGGGCCCCCAGCAAGGACTTCCAAGCAAGCCAGAACCTCAGCCCTCGCCCATGAGAGTCTTCCGATTCCACATATCGATCTGGCTCCAAGACGGAGCTGTGTCGTTTCCCCTGGAGAGTTTCATTCCACAGCCGGGCCAGCTCTGAGCGTTACTACAAAGTTACTACAAAGCCATGCGCATTCAGAGAACAGACCCGTTTCTTGTATCCTCTAGCCAATGCTGCTCAGCTAGATGGACTCTGCATCAGCTTTAGTGCTATACTTCCTACAAATTACTTTCTGTTATGTTCATTTTTAATCAGTTTTGTTCTTTTTTTAGTGCTCCCATATACCTTCTCGAAGCTTCCCTCGTCACTTCTTTTTTTTCTGAACAGCTAGAAAATATTTCAATGCATCTGCTACAATTAAGGAGTATGGAAAAGCCAACTAATTAGCAGGTAGTTTGAAATTACTCTCAGTGAACAGGGGTTAAAGGTAAAGGTTTCCCCTTGACATTAAGTCCAGTCATGCCTGACTCTCGGGGGCGGTGCTCATCTCCATTTCCTAGCCGAGGGAGCCAGAGCTTGTCCGCCGACAGTCTCCGTGGTCATGTGGCCGGCATGACTGAACACCAAAGTGCACGGAACGCTGCTACCTGCCTACCAAAGTGGTGCCTTTTTATCTCCTTGCATTTGCATGCTTTCGAACTGCAAGGTTGGCAGGAGCTGGACGGAGCAACGGGAACTCCCCCCGTTGTGCAGATTTGAACCGGCGACCTTTCGATCAACCAGCCCAGCAGCACAGCGGATTAACCCACTGCGCTACCTGCAGTCCGAACAGGGGTTAAGGATTCTGAAAAATCCTTGCTAGGGAATCCATGACAAACCCTCACAGAAGATGGCAGTTTGGTGAACGGGAAAGGTTACCTGTCCGTGCAGGGGGTCATCACTCCCTTCCTGCTCAGAAGAGAAGCTCTCTTCTTCCTCCTCCGAGTAGTTATCAATATCAGGGGAGCGATCTGCAAGACAGGGGAAGGGTTACCAGCTCAAGATGCAACCAAAGCCTCCTGTCTTTTCAAATGGAATCCAGACAGGCCCAGCCTAAGTAGTCGGGGTAGTGAGAAAAGGCAGGTTCAGTAACAGATTGTAAGCAAGAAGGCAGCTTGGTTGAGACACTGGGAGAATGTGTCCACTCATCACCCGCTTCTTTCATTTGTCATCCCTGCCCTATTATTACTGATTTTACATGTCAAGAAAATTAGCCATGGGAATCCCATGGTGGCTCCCTAGATTACTTTCCTGTGGCATATTGAAGTACATTTAATAATGGCCTAATCTTTTGGTTTTTACTTTTGCAAGGAGTAGAGTCTGTTGGGAGTTGGTTCTTCTTTGCAATAACCCCCTCCCACCACATGGTGATAATCCATCCAAGAGGCAGACCAGCCTCTTCTGCACAAGGCCCAATCAGCTGGGTTGTTTAGCCCTTTGACCCAAGTTCTCTCATCACTCGGCGCAACCTACAAAGAAGACCGTCAGTGCCCTGGGGAGATGGGAAAGGTGTGCAAGGTATCCCATCGTGTTTTAAACCAACTGGCTGTTGCTACAGGAACTCTGCTCGGTGTGGGAGCGTATTAACTGACGTGTAACCCGCCCCCTTTGCCAGTTCTCCCTTGCCATTGCGGGATTCCACCACTGCAGCCCGTAATGCAGAAGGACCATCCGCCTCAGTGTTTCGAGTTGATGGGAGCACGAGCCATCGCCCATTCCTGATCACGCTGTCCCGCAGATGTTCCAAACACATCGCGGGCCTCCTGGTATCCAATATACCATGACCCTTTTGGGTCAGCATGTGATCTTCTTGATAATAGGAAGCAAGCCACCCAGTGGGATCCAAACTGTGTTTTAATCCGTGTCCAAAGAGTCAATTTAAATCTGGCAGACGAGCCTAAGTAGCTTTGAAAATCACGGCATCTGCAGAGCCCTCCTGGGTGCTCTCAAATTTGATATTTCTCATGCAGACTGACAGCTAATCATTCCTTCCCGGGGATGGTGTTTAGAAGCAAAATAGCACCATTTAAGACTCACAACTGCCCTATCTGATCATTCACGAGGGCCATCAAAGCAGTCCCGGCAGCTTAAATTTTTAGACACTTAAAGGAAGTAATTAAAGAATGTAAAACCAGGCTGGAGCCATTTGCTTCGGAAGATGTTCTGTGGTGCTTCTACTCTCATTACAAGGGTGGCAAAAGCCAGACAACACTGCCCACCCCCACAACTCTTCCCGATTTACCCACGAGCTGTTCTGATCAGGCCGAACTTTCTTCCCTGCCCTTCTTTTACACGCTAGAGAATGGGCCTGGAGGATGGAACGTACGTTCTGGTCCTAGGTGGGATGCCATCTATCCCATCTGAGCATCCTTTATGGAAAAATAAGTGACTGCAACCTTCCCCCCAGAAGGTCAAGGATGGGGACAGTGCTTTTGATACAGGGGGTGGCTTGAACCAGGCTTGAACCCTGGGTTCAGATTATTCCATCTTAGTCTCACAACTGGAAAGCAAAAGAAGTCCAACCCTGGTTCCCAGCAGCAAGGGACCAGAATCTATTCCGCACACCTGGAACAGAGAGGGTACTGGAATGGGACATCGGAGATCTGGGTTCAAATCCCTGCTCAAACATGAAACTCGCTACAGAAACCTCAGGCTAATCTGTCTCTCTGTTCAAACTACCCTAGAGGCTTGCCATGAAGAAAAATGGGACAGCATCTCAAACCCCCAAGGTATATCACGCTGAATGCTCCTTGGAAGGAAGGTTTTTTTAAAAAATCATTTCGCAGCAGAGGTGAGCTGGTACCTTGCCTCCCCCCCCCCCCCGCACTATGAAGAGTGCAAAATCAATTACCGTTAGGTTAGAGCTCTGGCACTGCAATGCTAAGCGGGCCAGTTTGCATCCGATTCAGATCCGTGCACAAAGGCAGGGGAGCCTGCAGCGATGACCTCATCGCGGTTCCCAGCTTCCCCACCCCCGCCCCCTTATTCGGTCACCCACAGCATCGCTGGTAATCAACCCAAATATCAGAACGAATCTAGCATGGAGCCTCCATCTCCATCAGTTTCCCTGGCAACCAGATTTATTGCCTAGGAAAGAAATATCGCAAAGCCGAGAATTCTAAGGCAGGCAGCTCAATATAGCCGTGTGTGAAGGAATTAGGCCGGATTGTCAAAACGAGCCACAGGGAGAGAGCGGACACGACCCCGTGAGCCTCGCCAAGGTGCTGCGGTAGTTCTCCCGCAAGTGACCCATGTTAAGACTCATGAGCGGCTCCACAGGTTGCCAGGCAGCAGCGGTAAGCCTGCCTGTCGCAGCTTCGTCGCTTCTGCTCGGCCTCTAGCCGTAATGCGATGGCAGCCTGGGCCATTTTAAGAGACCACCTCTCTCCGGCCCCGTGTGGCATCCCCACGCTCTGCTTGGACCTTGCGTGGAGACATCTATGCCTCAGAGAACATGCCGAGCTCACCGTATACCAGGCCAGCCCAAAGTCTACCCTGACTGCCAGAGAATCTCCAAGATCTTGGGCAGGAGCCTTCTCCGGTTCTGCTAAGAGACGCCGTTTTAAGCTGGAAATGCCTCCGAGTCAGCCTGAGAGCTGCTCACAAGGGCAGTGCATCAGCCAAGCAGCCCAAGGTGGAAGGAGAACCTGTGAGATGCGGCCCTGCTCTGGCCGGCACAACAGAGAGCCACACTAGGCATGTGGAAGCAGCATGGCCCTATGGTGTATCTGAAGCCCCCTGGTTTAACTTGCTTTGGTCCACACTTAGTGCCTGCAATCGAAACTGGCGGAATGAACGCAATCTTTCCACCCCAGAAGGAAGCACAGCGGTATGAGAAGACCAGGAGTCCTTTGTGACAAGGGATCCTTCGTGTGCCCCCCCTTCATCTCCCCCCTCTGCACCAACCACAAATACTGTAATATTTAAGAACAGTGGTCCCTGCTCCGATATATGGCCTACCACCACGTTGTTGGACCGTGAGAAAACATTTTTTGGTTTGGATATTTCAGGTGTGCATTTGAGTCTCTGGACAGTCCATTTAGATGAAAATAAAGAAATTAAAGCTGACCAAAAAGAGGTTCCTGGTTTGATACACAAGGGAAGCACAGCATCTGCACCAGGGAATGCAACACAAAATTTTTGCATTGGCTATTAGGCCAATGAAAAATGACGAATGGATGCACACTTGCTTGGCGTGTCGAGCCTTCCTGTATTCCAGACTGGCGCTTCTTATGCTGCTTCCTCTACAGTTCACTCTGCCAGCTATTCTCACTGATAGCTCCTAGAACTACTCAAAATACAAGAAGCCAAGACTTGGCAGTCTCCTTACCAGAGAGTTTGGACTTCAGCCCTTCGTGGTCTATAGGCTGGCTGGACAGGGAATAGATTTTTATTTCGGCAACGGGCACAGAGACATCTTTCACGTTGCTGTGGAGTCCCAATACCAGAGCTCCCTCACTTGGATGCTGCATCACCTGGGGAAGGAAAACGCACGGCCACGTCAGAACATACCCAGGAAGTTGACACACAGGGACGCCTGCAATAACCGAGCGGCAAGGGCATCTGCCTACATTTCCTGAAAGCTACAGAACCAAAAAGAAGAGCAGGCAAGGATGTAACGCCAACAATGATCAGCAGTCGATCTTCTCTTGTCTGAAAGAGGGAGAGACCCTCCAAAAAAGTATCACAGAAACATAAAGCAACCTGAGTCTAGGAGAAAAAGAAATCCCAGATTAAACAAAGGCATGAACATGGGAGGAAGGAGCATGGGCTAGACTATGGAGGGACGTGCTCCTGGAAAACCGGCAGCCCACAAGCTGCCAGTTGGCACAGCACTGCTAGGGACGGAGCTTAATATACTGGACGGGGAAACAAGCTTTGCCTTGCCAAAGAGAACTTGGCGCTCATTTCCCAGACATTGGCTTCTAGTGATACCACCAGCTCTCTCGTTCCAGGTATTGAGGCTCATCGTCTTCTGAGAGGGCTGAGCGCCTTGTCTGAAGCTCAGGTGAGGGGCTTTCTGTCCGTGAAGACAATACTGAGCCAGGTGGGCCAAGGGAACGGCTCGGTATATGGCAATCTTCTACAGCCCCAATACGCGCGTTATCCATTTGGGATGGCAGAAATGGAAGAGGAAGCAGCCTGTGCCTTATTGGCCAAGCCCGGTATACTTCTGGGGGGAGGGGGGGCTATGTCTGAAGATGTGCGTGTGCATCTGCACATATGCACAAGAGTCTGCACATCGGCAGCCACATCACTGCTTGAGTTCCCTTGGAAATACTTCATGGTTAGCAGAGGAACAGGACGCCCCTGGCTTTCCCTAGAGAATCTCTTTGGATACTAGAAGGTATAGGACACGTGCTAGGAGAGAAAGGCTTCCGCAGGGTAGCGGCCCTTGATCAGTGTCCCTTGCACTTCAGCTCAGCTGCTCTTCCTTCTGCCTTACCTCGGCCATGTTGATAAGGCCAACAGCCAACGTTTTGTAGCCCAGAAAGGTCCTATTTTTGTACCGCTTCCTTCGCTGCAACATGATCTGCAGTTTGTTGGCATCTCGCTTCAGGAAGTGAGGATACTGCATGAGGAAACCAAAGGAGATGGCATACAAATTAGCAGCAGACCAAACGTGTGCAGCAAGGGGCAAGTCCCGGACCGAGGAGAGCCAGCTGCGCGTTACACATTCTTGGGGCAGTCCTATTCAAGTTTGGACCGAGAAAGCGGGGGCCTGAAACTCTCAGCATGCCCAGTTAGTTATAAAGGCTGGACTGCAAGCATTTTTCTGTCTAAACTGGCATTGCATTGCACCTTTAGAGCACGGACTTCGGCATGAGCCATGTGAGCTTTCAGGCTCCTCCACAGGCAAGTACAGATCACAACTAATCCGCTTCTATCGGCAGCATTCTGAGGGTCACAGCGAGAGCTTCAAAGCAGTGCCCCCAGCTCATCAGCCCACTTTGATCTTTCCCTAAACGGAGGATCCTTAAGGGCAAAGATACTTTTCAGATCAGCAGGAAATCAATTTCAAACAGCCCAAAGTCACCCCGCATGTGCCGCGACACACAATCAACACATTCCGTGCCTTTCCTGCCTCCCGCCGTGCAAAACATCTTCATTCTGGGGAAAGGACGGAAGTGTTCCATCCCATTATCCATTTTCTTGCTGTCTCTTAAGAGCCATGGAGAAATTCCAAGAGAAGTTGTTCCTTCAGTATAAAAGGCAGACAGGTGGGCTCCAAAAGTGGGCCCTGATGGCTGTGAAACCAACACAAAGGCTTGCCGCTGTTTCGAGAAGCTGCTACAGCGAAAGGCATTTTCCGTGCTCTTGATTATTCTGAGAGAAAGCTCTTGTCAGAGCCAACCACCATCCTCCAGAGCGCCCAAGATTCATTCTCCCCTGGCTTAGTGAGTGTATGAGGGCTTTACTGGCAAAAGAAGGGTAACAAAAATCCCTTCTCAGATAAACATTTCAAACCCTTAAAAAATGTAATTCCCACCCTGTGCAGTGCTGAAGCTAAACAACACGATCCAGAATGCATACAATTTACCATTCTCTACAGGCCCAGTTCCTTTGTGCCAAGAAATGGCTATTTATGCAGTGTGGAGAAAAAGGGCTGCATGCTTTCACCGGAGGGAGAGTGGTGGGGGAGGGTTTTTCTAATGGAAAGCAGCCTTCAACACATAACATAATGTGAGCATCGCTTCTCCGATCTGAAAAGCTACCGTGTGATGCACACAGCAGGCAAGAGTGTGAAATTGCTGCCCGGAGAAATGGAGGTGTGGGTGTAATAAGATTTCAAATTCCACAGCAATCTCCCTTCAGAAACCTCCAAGCACTTCACAGTTATTAAGGAAAATCTGAAGCAGACAAATGTTAGCCTGGTGTCTTTGTGCACGATGCTGTGAAGGGGGGAAAGGGACCAGAGCTCCTTCAAGGGTATGCTCTCCGTCTGGTTAAGAGCAAACTTGGACACTGCTGCCGAGGACAACAGGAGCAATTCTTCCCACGATCTCAGGGCTGGCAAAATGGAAGTGCTCTCGTTGGAGTGAGCAGGTTTATGGTATTCTTCATGGTTGTTTAAGAAAAAATTGCATGCAGAGTTCCATCCTGCAAAGCACGATGTATTTCAAAAGGTTACTATCCAATTAAACTCTACTTACCTGCAATGAAAATGTCAGCTGAAGTTCTGTTTCCACAAGTCCGCTGAGAGGTAAGACAATCTCATTGGATCTCAGGATCCGCTTTGAACCCTGTAGGAGGCAAGCGTGACAGTTTTAGTCTTTAACACCCGAAAAAGGGGAGAGAATGCCGGGGTCTGTTAGCCCCAAACAACACACCAAACATGTGTACGAAAGCGTTGACAGGTGCTCCATCTAGGAAGCTGGCTCATTTTCAGACCCATTTGAGGGTTGGAAGGGAGGCGGGAAAAAGCATCGATTGGGGCCGTATCTCTGGAGCAGACAATCCTCAGTCAAAAGTTGTCTATATAAACAGAACTGTTCCCTGCATTAATTAATACCCAGTGCCTTGTCATTATTATTTCAATATTGCTAGGGAAACCAGACTGTCCACGTAACAGCAGCTTGTTTTAGGATGCTACACAGAGTTAGATCTGAATAAACTACCCAAACATGGCGGGAAAATGAAAAAGGGACAGCTCTCTCCCTGTAGCTACATGGAGTTGGGTGTCCTCCACCCTTTCCTAAGGCCAATATGGAGCTTGGGGCTTCCTTGTTCCCTCAGGTCCTTGTACCTGCAGTTTTACAGCAATCACAACAGAGTTCAGATCCTTGTCCATCTCCTTCAGCATGATGAGCTTTTTCAAGGTCAAACTGAACAATCTGTCCAGAGGAAAGAGAAATCAAAAACACAATTACGTATCTGTCACTTGCAAGAGTAAAGCAAGCAGTTTTGTTTGACTAGATTTTCCTGCTGTCTTGTAGAGAAAGAAAGCAGGCTTGCCTTGAACTAGAGGACAGGGCTGTTGCGGTCTTTCCCCACAACCGAGCCTGTGCAGATTTCTACTCTGACTGCATTTCTACTGAGAATGTTGTCTAGAATAGCCAACTCGTCCCAAGGTCTGAACACAACCAACAATGGTGGGTGGATGAGGTTAGAATCTTTGTGCTTTACCTGTCTTGAATTCTCCATGCGTAAGGTGACCATCTACCTCTCCCTGGCTCTAGACTGAAACTTCAGTGAGAAAATGAGTCTGTCAGCTTCAAGCATCCCAAAAGGCACACAAAACAGATTTCGAAGTAGAACTGGGCATGGTAAATGCTCCATAGTTTGACTCTTTTTGAAATATACAGACATCTCAGATAAATATTATATTTCCTGGAAAGCTTCCTATTCCCTAACAAAGTCAAGATTCTAAAGGTAATATAATCTGTGTACCAGAAGACAAAAATTCATGCTGGAAATGCTCCTTAGGAGATCAGCTCTTGTTGTGCTTTTGGCATTTATACAATAAGAACCCATTTATCTATCCTGATCTGTTTAGCTTGTCCAACCCTAGAGGCCCTGAGTAGACAATACTTTGGCTAAAACATTGCACAGTAATTACACCAGATGTCCTTGCTCATGAAGTACTGCTAGAAAATAAATAAATAGGAAAAGTATTGCTTAGGTTAGGCTACTGCACAACTCTCAGATGGACAACAGAAAAACTGGGGTCACATCTGGGTTATTAAAGTTTTACAGAATACCCGTCACAGCTGCAGTATAGGAGGGAGTTTGCATGCATGAAAAAAACCCAGGTTCTGAACACTACTGGCATGACATTTCAAAATATCATGTGGCTTAAATGGTTCACCAAGCAAAAATCTATTTTTGCAGACTTACTTCCTAGTTAAATTCATTTTGAAGTGGTTCAGACACTGAGCATTGCAACACACTTTTTTTTTTTCATAAGCAAATACCGCATTGGTAGGCAGATATATGACATCTTGGTGTTTTATTTCCACGGCCCTGATCCCTTTGGGAATATCTAGTATTGTTGCATTACTGGAACGACGTAGGTGTGCACCTAGGCAGGTGATCAGTGCACGGATGGGAACCTAAGCCGCTCTGTACTTCCTGAAGTAGTTTACTGTCCAGCGACGAATTTCCTTAGTCACAAACCAATTTCAAGGGTCATCTTGCAACAGCTACCTTAAGTCAATAAAATTGAAGCTCTCCTCCTTCACTCTTTTTAAAAGGACATTAGTTTGCTAATTTCTCAAAAGCAGCCTTTGTGGTAATTGTCACCCAAAGGGCATGTAGCCAGAGGCTACATACGAAACTGTATCTTTCTTCTTTCAGAGGTAAGGATAAGCAGGAGAGGAAAGTTGAGCAGACTTTTCAAGAGATCTCGGCAACTATGAGCCTCAGAGTTCTATGTAAACACTTGGTTCTCCATGCAGTATCCCTGGTTCAGAAAACCGGTGGGTGGAGAGTTAGAGGGAAGGTAAACTGAGCCACAGCAAATGATTCTAGACTAAAAGGAGCACACAAGAACCTGCACACCTGAGCTCAGGTGAGCGGACAGCCTCAGAATGGGTGTGACCCACTGGTTTCCCTCTGCAACCTTCCCCTGGTGCCACTGTTCAGCGCCTGTCATTTAATCTTAGCTATTATTCTACAGAACTCGCGCTATTCTGAACATGCAGGTGACTCTGTTCGAAATAAGAAATATCCCACTGAACTTTCTTATTTGTCACAAATAATTACTTGGGGATGTATGAACACTGACATACCCTCAAAAAAAGTCCATACAAACTTGCAGAGATCATGCTGTAACAAGAATAGCCATAAATATTGGAATATTGGTTGGAATAAATAAATATTGGTTGGAAACTGCCTTCATTCCTCTTTCAGCCAGTCTGACTGCCCTCCCATCTCTCTATTTTGGGATTAAAGAGTCTTGTGAAATACTAGCTGTGAAAATCTTGTTGGCATCCATAGATAGAGAGAGAGAGAGAGATGTAGGCCAAGTTGTCTTTCTATTCGTATCTCTAAAGAGGGTATCAAATCTGACTTTATCCATCCTGTTTTGAGGGCACAAAGCTACATTTATACTTTCTTCTGGTGAAAATGGAATATGTAGAGCTTTCAGAAAAACCTTAATCGTGCTCCCTTTCACACTTCATTAAACCAGAGGCTGGAGAAAATGGCCATTCCAGAGATACCTTTTTTTTCCTCTTTAAAGGGGGAAATGGGTTAAGTGGATCTGAAAAAGCTGGCATCTGGCCCAACCTGTTTAAAATTAAACTGAGGAACAAGAAAGAAAAAAAGATTCAGGAGAATAATAAATCTATTTTTTTAACTGTGGATGCTAAAAAGAATAACCAAAGGGAACTGCATGACTCAAAGATTTTCAGGGCAAATGCTATCCCGGTGCAGCGTAATCAAATGCAGCACACGGGCAGAATTACATGAAACTCTGGCCAAGAGAGACTCTGCGTATCACCGCCCTGCTCTACTACCTCATGTGTGCAAATGCTCCAGGGAGGTTTTAATTCTTTTTTCCACTGGAATCGCTCAAACTGAATCACTTATGCCATTGCCCAATCTTCTAGCCCAAATCCTCAGATTTGTCCCTCACTTTGCCCCTTGTACAGACCACAAACTCAGTAAAATAAAGCTCAGGTTGGCTCGCTGCAGTAGGAATTAGGCCATTAGACAGCAAACCTTAAGGAAGAACCTGGCCTCTTTTCTTTTAAGACACTCACGTAGCAAAACTGTGCCGACAAAATGAGAGAGAAAAGAATTTCTGATATAGCATAGGGTAGGGGCTCTGGAATCCCACGCAGTTTGCAAAAAGAAAAAAGAAAAACAGTGCAGGCAAAGTGCCTTCTGTAAAAGGCAGGCGGCAATCATGCTTGCTAAAGCAGAGAAAAAATGAAGTCTCAAAATGTGCAAGAGCTCTCAGGACTGGTGGGTGATGAATTTACCTCTGCCATTGGACGTAACCAGCTAACTGAAGTGGCATACAAGAAATCTTGCTCAGATGTTGGTGATATCACTTTAAAAGCACCAAAGGTGCTTACAAATGAAGCCAGAAGCAAAAGAGCCACCAAGAGTTTTTTTTTTTAAAAGCTGGTGCTGTTGGATTAAAAACCTCTGAATTTTGCCCTTTATGATAAGCGCAAGCATAAATTTGCTATATATTACAAATGCCAATGGATTTTTGGTGCCAATAAGTACATACATTTTTGGCATTAATATTTTTTCTCTAATTGTTAAGTTATATAAATAAATTTGATGTGAAACTTTTGGGAAAGGAAAGCATAATACCAAATCCAATTATGAACCCAATATGGAATTAAGAACTCATTATACAAAGCTGTTATAACTGGATTCTGAGGCCACGCCTTGTCTCCCTTAAGAAGCGAGCACTTGGGCCGTACTAGATCAGATGAAGGGGGACTAGAGTATAGCTTTCTTACCCTAGTATTCCCAAGCTGAAGCATTCCTGTTTGCAGCCAACCAACTTGGAAAGAAGAAACAGCAAGAAGAACGATGTACCCTCATCTACACAGAGCAAATGGTTCCTAGGGGTGGGACATACATACAAGCAAGCAAATGCTATGCTTTTTCTCATGTACCTTGAAGGCATTTAGGATATGTTCCAGTCTTTAAAAGAATGCATGGATGTCAGGAGCAGAAACACTTGAGTTATATTAATTACAACAAGTTTGTTAGAAAGGGCAAAAACTATTTTTACTTAAATTATTATTTCAAATATGAAATCTTTATCAACACAAAATAGAGTATATATAAGTTCACAACAAAATGCAAATGTTGCAACTGCCAAACACGGCGATGAACCGATTCCTAAATTATATTGTTTCCCACAGCACATATTGAAAGGCAGAGAAAAATAACACATCATTCTATTGTTGACACCAACATTTTGGTTTCCAAGGCGTTTCTATGGCAGGTGAATACTAAATTGCCGAATATGTTTTGACTCTACAGTCTTCTTGAAGAGCACATTTGAGAGCTCAGAGTAGTCAAATTCACAACCCACAGAACCAAGGTTGATTTGAGGGCACATGCTCATGTCGTTGAAAGAAATACTGTGAAAGGCCCCTCTTGCCATGCTGGACAAGAACCCTATGACAGGAGGTGGACCTCTCTCCTTGCCCCTTTGAAGATGGTTAGATGCTTGTAGGATGTTTAACTGCTATTTGGACATCCTGGTCAGAGTTGTTTTTCCCTAGGGTTGAATCTAACATGGTGCTAGGAAAAGTCTGCTCAAATGTTAAGACTCTGGTGTGTTTGTGTGTGCGCATTTGCTGCCCAGCCATCTGGCTCTGGAGGTTTTTACAAGGGCTTCAGACCAAAATTTTAGGCCATGCATGGGACTGGCAAGGGGGAATCACTTCCTTCTGGTTCCACTGAAGGAACGGCTTCCATCAGCAGAACAACACTACAGGGTCCCACTCCACAATCTTTTAAATCTGAAGAAAAATTAAGGAATGCAGAATAGAACAAAACAAAAAAGAACGAAGAAAACAAGGCCCTTCCTTCTTTCCCCACCCTGCAGCTGAGACAGACATGTGGAATTGTTATCTAATGTTAAAGCATGCATTAGGTTAAAACAAAAGCGCAACAGTGAGGGGGAACTGTTGATTGATAAGACTACTGAAATACAGTAATTTTTTCACTTAATTACAGTCCAATTATCTTGTAAACGTCACAATGTCTTGATCTGAGTGCAGCAGCAGAAAATGGGCTCTTGAAGTTGAAGCATTTTAATAGGTGCATTAACTCTAGCTGATGGGGGAGAAGTAATAATTATCTTCTGCAATCATTTATTTCTACAGTCAAATGTTATTTCTTCTGAACGTACAACCATGCTGCAACAACAGGACCAAGGCTGGCTCTTCTCATTTAAACGAAGGAAGGAAAGTTTAGACTCTCTCTTTAAAATCTATAAGCAACCCAAGGCAAGCCTTACTAAGCTTGTCAATTGGCTGTTGCTGATTTCTACAATTAGTATTTGCATAGAATTAAGGTTTGAGTTGTGCAACCGTTATAACCACTTCCTCCACACTCCTTCCGTGCAGCAATGCTTCTAAGACACTTTAAAATGGTAACCAGAACACTTCTCTCTTGCACAAAGAGGAGAGCCCTTCAAACAAAGGCAGAAAATATGGATTGCTGCCAATAATCTGACGCTAAGTGATGAGAAAGCTCGCTAATGGTGAAGCAGTATACCTTTATAAATATACTTCAACACGCAAGACACATTAAGTGATACAGTCAAAGAAGATCGTTCTCTGTACCCAAGTTCTTACAATCTGGATCGTTCGTCCCGAACCTAGTGCCTTTCAGACATGTGGAACGCAACTTGTCCATTTGGCACAGCTGGCGCTTCATTTTTACAAGCAGCTGGGCACCCAGCCCCGTAGACTCAAGAAGCGGGTAAGGGATGAAAGGTTTGAGACTATCGGGCCTCATATGGACAGTAGGGCCATGTTCCTCTTGACCCCCCCTTCTCTTTTTACTGCTTTGCTTCAACATGGGCATGGCAAATGAATAGCTGTGAATCCAGATGTGGTTTTGCCTTCTTCGGAAATAGTTACACTGGAATTCAAAACATTTAGCCATCGTACAACATCAGGAAGTGTCACTTTTCCCCGAGTTCCTCCCCAGTGCCACCATTATCAGCACGACACTGCATTTGATCGTTCGATTCCAAATTCTTTTCTGCAGTTGAACAACAGGGCTGTTTATCCTTTCATGTTCTACCATACAAATGTTACTGAAGTCCAGCACAACTTCCACATTAAACAGCTGCTAGCCAAGGTCATTCCAAGGACCCTTCTTTCCCAATGTTCACCAAGGACTGCATTCCAAGTTATGACAAAGCCAATTAGCTACACTAAGCCAAGTCAAAACATGCTCGGTGCAGGAAATTCACAGACCTGGATACTGAACAGAAGGGTTTGTTCAGGCTTGAACACGCTGACATCAGAGAAGAACCCTGTGTTTCAACATCTTCTGACTGCTGGGAGCCACTGAAAACAGACTATGCAAATACGAAAAAGGACAACTTCGCTTTCCTTAAGAGACGGAGGGTTTTCCCCCCATGTACAAACATCCAGACAGTACTGAAATTGCTGTGACCCATTGAGGACATCATTCAGTAACCATCACAGCTTTCAAGCGTAACCAAACAAGTAGTTTTGCATAATATACAAGATGTTATCCTGCTACATATCAAAGTCCACCACTGAAGAACTAAAAGTACGGCTCATTTTTGTCCTCAAGCAGGGAACTTCCACCATCACAGAGTAACCTCTGCCCTGTGGATAATCTCCTGTTGTCAAAACTGCAGTGTCCCTTAAGCAGTAAACAGGAGGCCAAGAAATACTGCTCCCACGTAAAGGTTAGACTCACTGGGATTCTGCTATCTTCAGCTTCTAACTAGACCTGATGGATTAGCAAGTCAAAACAAGCTGCCAACCAAGACATTGTGACTGTGTGGGGAAGGATCCAGCCTGCAGAACTGTAGGTCACTGGGGCAAGTTCCGTCTTGTGCACCAAACAATGCCATGGTTAGAGCATTAAAGGGCAGATGATGGAGAGGTGGGCGACCCCGGGCCGGTCACACCACCGCTCCACATGCGAGAAAAAATGAATGGTTACGAAATATGCATGTAGTCTCAGTTCCTTGGAGGCAGGGTGGAATACAAATATGATCATTAAACAAACAGAAATAACTCCCTCAGTACATTAACTGTTAGCTTGCCAGCTTGGGACAAAATTGTTTAATTGAACCTTACTATGGTGCTGATCTAGACCTGAAGAACCAAACCAAGGCAGTCTTTCTTTGAAATGTGGCCTTATATGAACGCAGGGAACTGTAACTCATCATCCTTTCCCTCTTAATTATATAAACTCTTCATTATTCACTCCCTGCACTGGTTCTGCAGAGAATCAGGTTACCTGCTTTTAACAGCCCAAGCAGATACAAATCAGAAGGATTCTATTAGCACGGAAATATCCTGTAACCATTTTAGAAATCAAATCACAATTCACTCAGCTGGTAATAGCTTGCCAGAGTTGGGACTAAATGGAAAACAGACACCAGAAGACTAAACCAAATACCCGAGAACACAGAGATGGAAACAAATACAACTACTGCCTGAACAGTGACCAAGAGAAGGCTTTCAAACCATTCTATATATTTAAACAAATTCAATGCCCTGATACAATAGATACAGGTGGGGAGAGCATGACACCCAGTTTATTTATTTATTTAGGGTATTTCTAACCTGTCCAATCACTACACGTCCCTGGACGGCTTACAACAACAGTCCAATAAATACAATGGTATCAAATATCATACTAATAACCCCAAACAATAATAATACTAATAACCCATGACTGGAATACAAACATTAAATTAAAATTTTAAACTTTACAATGCTGGGTAAATAAAAAAGTCTTGACCTGGTGCCAAAGCAGCAGTAAGAAGGAATGAATAGCGCTAGGTCTCAATCGCCCAAACTACCACCAAAAAGCCACTGGATTTTGGTTGTTCTCATTTCCATTATTGCCTTTGTTTGGCTGGCATTTTCAATCGCTTTGCAGCTCAGCAACAGTTGCAAGACCCCAAAAGAACCCATACAGACAGGCGTGAAGAGGAGGCGCGCTAACGTCGTATGAGCATCGGTTTTTGTCCTCTCCCCACCACCGGCTCACTGCCCAGGTCCTTGGCATTCTGAACCTAACTATTCATCTCCGTATTGAAAGAACCAGCTGAGGAAAGGCAAGGACCTAAGCAGGATCTCCCCCGCCCCCACCACCTTCGGCAGGCTTTGAAAGTGCCATTTGACAAGTCAGCCAGCAGTCACCCACCCACCGACTCACTTTTCACCCACGGTAGAAAGGCACCTCGTCTGGTACAGGGTACCTCCCATTTTCAGTTCCTCGGGCCATATTCCCAAGCCTCTCATCTGCTTTATGAAGAGTTCGAAAGCTGCCATTCATCTACTCTTGTCAAGAACACTTCTGCACAGCTCTTCAGAGAAGCAGCTGTTGTGTCCACCCCTTTGCACCGCAATGGCAAAGACTCCCAAGGCAACCTGCATGATTAAGCAGGTCGCTGGATGACTGTTGCACACCTCATATGCTGACTACTGGGAAGGCGCTGAATAGCGTATGACATCAGGATCATCTCAGGTGCTTTTACCTGTGAAAGCTCCCCAAGATAAACAAGCAAGCAAGCGGCCTTGCTTAGTTATGCGTGCTGTTCGTGGGAAAGGTCAGGGACACATCTGAGGAGCAAATAAATAGAGCGTGTGTAATTAGGGTTAAGGCGCATGTGAACAGAAAACTTGCAGTTTTCCACAAAGTCGTTTGCTATTGGAATATTAAAAGCCACAAAGGAAGAATCACACTAAATTGCATGTGCCCACCTACGCCTGAAGTTTTCCAGCCGAGCAGCAGGAACAAATCCAGTAGGACAGCCACTTGACAAGTCAGCGTGGAGTCCAGATTGCTCCCTGGGGACCATACGGGTTCCAAAAGGACTCAAGGAAGCCAGGAAACTAAGTGGTTATTCCAGGAAAGAGAACACTGACTACGTTTGATCGTATTGTAGCAATAAGAGGGATCGGGCATGTTTGCCACGGAGAAATAACAGTAAGGGATCGCCACTTCTGCCTCCCAACTGTAAACTGAGCATATCCTATCTAAAACAGATAATATTCAAACAGAAACTAGGCTGTGAGATTCATGTGGGACCAAGTTCTTCCCCAATGATTCACTGTCATTCCAAAGCAACTCAGTTTTGAAACAAACCCCTCTGCAAACATACGCTTTGAATCGATCTCAGACCTATCCTATTGCCTAGAGACAAGCGGCACTACAGATCCTTCCACTTCGATCAGAAAGAGCCAGCTACGCAATTAATACGTGTCACCAACATAAAGCTATTACAGTGGAGTCACCATCTCAGATAAATTGTGGGGACTGGTCCTGGGGCAGCCCATCGTAAATTTGGGATCTTGATATAACTGAGCAAGCCTCTCTCTGCATAACTATGTGCTATTCTGTGTTTCCTGCGGTTAACAGAAAAAGGAAGCTGTTTCCAGATCCCCAATATATACGCCTTACGATCTGGGGAAGAGCCAATGCCCCATCACTGAACCCTGGTGTGCCCCCAGAAACATATTATTGGATAGGATTAGCCACATGATCTCCAGTAATCCATATAATTTCCTGAACAGCTCAGACTTTTAATCCAAAAGAAGCCAAGGGATTTTGACCCTGCACTACAGTTTCTGCCTCTAGCCCTTAGCTCCACTGCACTCTACCATGCTTTACTAACTTTGGAAACCCACATACCCCAAGATGGGCTCGTTAATTGCTGCAGAGAAGCAATGGATTGCCAGACTAACTTGTGAACTGGCACATGCGATGCTCCTCTTGAAGGAAGTCTGAATACCACTGTCATTTCCAGTTGTTGGATAACATTTTAAAGGCTGCTCCCAGTTTTAGAAGATTTCCTGTTAACCCTCAACATCACACCACAGTCTTATAAGAGACCACAAAATATTGCTAGCCAACAACTGCTTGGACAAGCAAGTTTGCCAATATGTGTGATGCTTATTTGAGGCCAAGGGGGAGGTTATCCTTTGTCAAAGGTTTTCCTGCTCAGTCACCTGCAGGGATTCTAGTTCGCCAAAGGCAGTTAGACAAATGATTTGTACAAGCCTTATAGCATCTCGAAAATGGTATCTTTCTTCCAAAATCCTGAGCCATGAAGACCGCCTCGTGTTCTTTCTCCTGAAAATTCTCACTTCATGTCCCAATTGCAAACACACAGACACTAGTATTACCATTAATGGAGTAATCGCTATGGCTATTAAAGTGGAGTGTAATGGGAAAACTGGCACGTATACCCTTCTTCCAATGCAGCTTACTGCTTTGATAATTTACATGTTTATATCAAGTATAATGTTAATTGTCATTAGTTCAGCAAAGGGTATTATGCATAATGACTCAACTCTGATGCATAGAAAAACAACAAAGCACCATAAGTAAAATGATGAGACATTGTTCATGCCATTTTGTGTAAAGAAGATTACTTCAAAAATAGGCAGTGGTTCCTTATAAATTCAGCATTTCCGGATGAGCTGAGGCATGTTTTAGTGATTACCAGCAAATAGCCAAGGTAAAGGGGGGGGGGGGGAAATCACCAGGAAATTTTAATGTAGCATAATGCTTACCAAACCGCAGAGTATCTTTTTTTTTTAATAGTTATGAATGCCTGAATTTTCTCATGCCTAAAATCTCAAGAGCCCAATTTTGCAGAGTCATTCTTGCCATCTAGTAATGAAGTCCGTAAAATCTTTTAGTAATTGCAGTTTCATAAGTAGCATATTAAGGCTGGCTGGAGAGCCACTGCATCATTTATTCAAGATACTTCTTCAACTGTGCGTGGCTTCACCCTTATGCAATGCTGAATGGGATGCATCTGGTTTAATCAAGAGGGCGCTTCACATACACTTTGGCACGGATCCCGTTCGCTTCCATGGGGCTTCCACAGATGCTCCCAGGAAATGTCCACAGAATGGCAGCGATAGCAGCAACTCATTTTTCAAGCCAACCTTCCTGTGAACACCATCTTAACACGGCTTTAAAAACCATTCATCTAATATATTCCCTGGCATTTTTTAACCTCAGACTGAGTTTCTGATTACAAGATGATCCTGCGGATGCCTATACCTGGGCAAGACCCAAAATTAAATCCGTGTGACTCTGCAATTTAAAGAGAAGCCTATTGAAGGAGCCTGATTAGCTTAACTGACACTGTTTGCTTTTAGCTTAACTAACTTGCTTATGTAAAAAGCCGCTTGCATAGGAGCTTGGTTAGCTTAACAAGCGCCATTTGCTTTTTGTAAAACTGCTTGCTTTGGAGGTGAAAAAGGGAAGGCAAAAGCATGTTGATAAAGTAAGACAAAGAGGTCGTGTGAAGAAGTCTCAAGCTCTGGCAGGTAGTGATCACGCTCCCCCTGTAAGGGGATTGGACGCAGATAAACACCAGCACTGAAGTCAGCCATGCAAGGGTCAGGCAGACCCTGAGAGGGGTCGGGGTGAGGGAGAGATTAAGGAAAAAGGAATAAGAAGGATGAGTTGGAGGAATGTGGGGTGTGTCGCTTCCTGCCTGTGTGTAGGGAGCAGACACCCGGTTGCTTTGCTCGGCTGAATAAAGAAAACTGAGCGAATCTCCGCCTGACTGAACCCCACTGACACTTGGTTTAGTGGGTCTGTAAGTCGCCAGGTTAGCTAGCAGGGACCTCAACACTATCGCCCACTGTTTTCAGTCCCTTTCTGGTGCATATGTGAGAATCATCCGTGAGGCATTGGGCAATGAGGAAGTGAAATGGGTTCTCCACGGTGCGTACATGCACGCTCTAAGTATTTGAGGACATGATTTGCTGGTTTACAGCCAAGGAGCTCTAACCATTCTCTGGCCTTATATTTGAAAAAGTACAACAATAAAACACATCCAACATGACCAAAAATACCTGCTGCCAGGCAGTGGGACAAACTGCCAAGGGCACGCACAGAGAACAGCCCCCAGTGTGGTGCTCTTAATTCAACACCCATCTATCAGAGATATTTAAGGCTAATTAAATCAATTCTGCCCTGCCGAATAGGCTAGATGACTCACAGAGGATCCCGCCCAACCCAAAAGGCTCTAGTAGAGGAAAATAAGCCGCTAATATAAGCTGGCTAGACTACAGATGCAGCGTGCAGCTGAATGCTCTTAGCAGTGCTCCAGCAAGGTAAACTTATCCCCACTTGTCCTGTTGATCTTTGTGCTACTATATATTTTCCCATATTTAAATCTGTACCAAAGCAGAAAGGTATGTTTTAAGCAACAACAGGAGAAGAAAGGATGCCCCATGCCAAACACATTTGCAAAATTGCAGGCATTCTGGGCTCACCCCACCGAGAAAACCCAGGGGCTATTTTAAAGTTATACTAGAAATATTTCTGCCTTAGTGCTTCTTCAGTCACAATGAGAATACTATAAGAGGTAAAAGTACAAAACGGTGCTTCACATCTTTATAATATAAAGTGCTACAGTACCCTAGAGCATAAGTATGAAAGGATCTGGCGCTGGTCACTGCAGTGATCCGAAAGGGCTTTTAAGGCAGCAAAAGTAACTGCTCCTCCTGCCTTAATTTCCTTCAAAGTGATAGAAGCAGCTGCAAACAGCCAAAGGGTGGAGGGGAGGGGAGGTTAAGCCCTGGGAAATCAGCACTTGGGACGAGTTTCTTATCTTGGTCCCCTGGGGTGGAATAAAGGCAACACCATCAGTACCAAGTTA